CCCGGCACCCGCCCCCGCTCCGGCTCCGGCCCCCGCTCCGGCTCCCGCACCTGCTCCCGCTTCGCACCCTGCCCCTGCCGCTCCCGCCCCCGCCCCAGCCAGCGAGCTCGACCTCCACCACGACGCCGCGCAGGAGAAGGACCACAGCAGCAACTTCAACGTCTACGAGAACCATAACTCTGGCGTCAACGAGCACGAGCACCACGTCGACGACTACGATTACTCCTCCTACGACAACACCAGCAAGGGGGCCTCCGGGTCGACGCAGGACCACGCCGCCGGGCAGGTCAACAACAACTTCCACGTCGAGAACAACTAAGCTTGCCCCAACGGTGTGGAACTGGGGACTCTTCAAGTGGTAGAGGGTCTTTTTCTTGGGAGTACAATAGTTGTATTACTTAGTGTTTAATCACCTTTCCTTCGTTTTGACCGCGGGGGAAGGGAAAGGGTGGAGGTCTATGCTGGGGATACTTTTTTTTCCTTATGCTCTTGAAAATACCATTTTCATTTCTTCATTATTCTTGATACTGAATTGGGGAGTAGTGGAGTGGGCGTAGGTATTCATGGTTTGAGAATGTAGCTTGATTACACACTATCTCCAGATCCAAGTGCGCTGTACAGTACAACAAAGAAAAAGTACAAGTATGTCCTCAAATCTCCAAACATCGGGGTATGAATAAGTATGTACAAGAACCGAAACAGAAAGAGAGAGTAAGGAGTGTCTCGAGACAAGGAAAAGAAGACATAATCGGCGAAAGCCAACCCCAAACACCTACCTACGTGACAACCACCCTTTGGCGCACACGGATCCGATTCCTGGGCACATCCGCCGGCCCGCCCAGGCCCGCCGCCTTGGCCGCATACCGGCTCTTCCACCCGCACCGGCCCAGCGCCAACGTCTCCAGGGTCTCGGTCCGGCCGCCCCAGAGCTTTCCGCGCGACGACGATGCTGATGAGTCAGAGGAGGTGGTGGCGCCGCGCTGCACGGGCGGGATCCAGAAGTGGGTGACGGCGGCGCCGAGGATCATGCACACGCTGAACAGGATCAGGATCCAGCCGTGGCGGATGGTCGGGCCGTCGCCCTCGCCGGTGCCGAAGTTGTAGTACGCTGAGAACACCTGGACGAGGATGGAGCCGAGCTTGCCGGCGCCGGCGCTGATGCCGTGGCAGGTGGCGCGGTAGCGCGTCGGGAAGATCTCGGCGGGGATGATGTACGTGGTTGCGTTGGGGCCTGTGGGTTTGGTTATTAGCGTGGTGGGTTTGCATTTGGGACGAGTGGTGGGTTCATGTTGTTGGGGAAATGGAAGAGTGGGTGGCTGGGAAGATGGAATGAAGACCGAATCCTACCGAAGTTGAAGAAGGTTTGGCCGATGATGTAGAGGGTTATGGCGGAGGCTCCTTCTTGGTGCACGGTGATGTACATGGTGCCGAGGGCGATGAAAAGCGCGGCCAGCGCGAGGAACATGTATTTCTGTAAGGCAGTGCGGTCGAGCTTGTGAATCAGCATGATGAGAAGGATCCCACCGAGGAAACTGCCGCTGTTGAGGATAACGAGTGCGTGGGTGGAGCTGGCGAGGAGCATGTTGTAAACACTGGCACCGGGGCGGTCGTCGGTTTTCCAGTAAGGGGCGGAGGAATCGAGGTGGAGGGAACCCCAGGTTTTGGCCAGGAACTGCGGACTAGAGAGACTGATCCCGTAGAAGCTGAAATCCAGGAAGAACCAGGCAAGACTGGTGGCAGCGAGAGTACGCCAGTTACCTTCAATCCAGAAATACTGGCGGATATCCCGGCGAGTTAGGTGCCAGTGGGAGTTCAGAGTGGCAGGTTGCAGGATCTCGACCTGGGAGGGAGAGCGCTGAGTTTCATGATCATCGTCGTCTTCTTCATCATTCTCCCCAGCGGTGATCGTAGTGAGTGAGATGCCGGGAACTGAAAAGCTGTGCCAGCTTGCAGAGTCCCCGCCGAATGGAGAAGAGCCAGTCAATGTGGATGGGGAGCTGGCGTGGAAGTCGTCGAACAAAGTGGTAGCATCGAACTCAGCCTGAACAGGGTCGTCATCGATCTCGAGCACGAAACGAGGAGACTCCGGGATAACGAATCGAAACAAGGTCGCAATGGCGCCCGGGATGACTCCGATGCCGATAACCCAGCGCCACATGATGTCGACCGTGCGAGTGAGATCCGCGGTGCCTTGCTTGCGACTGACAGTGATAATTATGATGGCGATGATGTTCCCGGCAATCTGTCCAAGAGGCTGCATGAAAAAAACCGAAGCCATCATGCGTGCACGGTGCTTGGTCGGCGCAAACCTGCCCGCCTGTTAGTATGGTCGCACGCAGTAGGCAGAGCTGATAGAAAAGTGAGAACACCTACTCAGACGTAATGACCGCGCTCAGTGGATAGTCGGCTCCTACCCCAATCCCAACAATGATTCGCCACCACAGCAACCATGCGTAGACGCTCATGCTGCCGTTCTCGCCCCGGGAGGCCATCACGACCCCCAGGGTGGATGTGATCATCAGAATCAGCTCCAGCCCGTACATTTTTTTCCGTCCGTAACGATCTGCCAAGTACCCAAATAAAACCTGCCCAAAGAGTGTGCCGGCAAGTGTAGCAATATTAATGCAGGTGACATGCATAGACGATAGTTGGTCGCGCCAGTAGACATAGGAGATCATCGGGAAAGCCATGTTGCTTGCAAAGAGCTGGAACAAATGCCATTAGTGACAATTTACCTTGGGGGCATCGAAAGAAGAGACATACTGTGTAGCCGTCGAGGAAGAAGCCGACACCGGCGACAAAGACGACGATCCATTGGAATGCTTGTCGATCGATGGTCTCATAAACCTGGCGCATCCGAACCTGACGATCCTGTTCGCAAGAAGAGACTCTAGGTCAGCCTCGAGACTTCTTTTCGTAACTGCATTTGAAGCTATACCTGTTCATGGTCAAAGTCTTGCGCGCGGTCGGTTTTGTACCACCGCTTGCCCATGGCGATCGATCTGTTGCTGTAGAAGCTGTATCGAATATTAAACAGATAGAGATATGAGCCCCGATTAGCCAAATGACATAATGAGGCAGTAAGAGCCTAATGCAAAGAGATCTTGCAGGATCGCGGCCCCCAAAGCAGGGGACTGAGGTAGATGAAGAAAGAATCTGACGAGATGCACCTCGAGGGAAGCGATGGCAAAACAGCAAAGACGAGGGGAAACGGAGGAAACCGAAGCTAATGAGAGTGGAAACAATTTACAGGATGCGCTAATTGGATTGGAGGAGTTTGGTGGCGTGGTCGATGGAAGGCCAGGTGAATGGAGGTAAGAAAAGGTCCACAGGCACGCACTCCAAGGTACGTAGTCAAGGTTAGTGAAATCCATGGTCAAGTTCAGGCCCCGTCGTCTGATGGTGACGAGGTCAGTGGGTGAGTGGGTGAGTGGGTGAGTGGGTGAGTGGGTGAATGGGGTGAATGGGGTGAAGGGGAATAGGTTGTGGGTGCCTGAGGTCTGGGGGCGTCTTAGTGTATGCCGGCCCGGTATAGATTATTACCTAGATTAGAATTTAGTGAAACTGGCGGGTGCTTGGACCAATTCACTTTCCCTTAACCCCACGTGCCGCAATTCTGGGGATTGAGAGGTGCGTTTACGACCCACTCCCGGTAAGAAGTCACTCGACTAACTTCCCTTCAATTCCTGTCTCACCACTTCTTCCCCTCATACAATCTACTTTCTACCACGTGGGGGATTCTCCGAGTCATGTTCCACAGAGGATTCAAAGTTAAGTAGGCAAAAAAAGACCAAAAAAAAGGATCGCTTTCTCTAACGACTGTCGACACGGGTATAAAAATGATAGATGAAATGTCGTGGCAAATGAACAAAACGAAAGACCAGGGGACTAGTCTAGTGCGACCTGGATACGAAACAAAAGAGATCCTTCGACCCACATTATGAGCCTAGCAGCGACTTTATACAGTGGGACACACGTGGTGGCCACCGGCGCCCGAGGCAACCCTCCCCTTTCCCCCTTCTCCTTGAATTATGCAATCGCAAGGCTATCGTCCCCTCTCTTCTTTCACTTGATGTGGTCGCCCAGAAACTGGCAAAACGCTATTCGATCTAGACCGGTTCATTGGTCAGCCTACCGAGAGGATTCGAACGTGCACAAGGGAGCATACCTGTATCATCCAGGAACTGGATCTGTAGCGTCTTCATTTGGGTTAGGATATCAAAATTAGGTTGGAGCTGGATTACCACAGGCCTCCCTGGCTTCTTGCCGGGATTAAAACTGTCAATACAGTTCACTGGGAGAGATTAGCCGGTCAGATCCTGCCGTGGCCGACCGGCCGACCGGTCGGCCGGAGTACCAGCTCACCTGGTACTTTCACGTAGCGCTTCAAGTCTTTCCGCTGGGAGTTGGCAAAAAATAGCATGACTTGCTTGCCATTGGGTCCGCGGAGAATACGGAGGTTCTGACTGATGCACTCCTCTCCACGGCCTTTCGACTTGGCTTCTGCGATTCCGGCAAGAAAGACCAATTTGGATGCTAGGATGATCTCCTGAAATTGAACACAGTCTGAAGGCTCAGTCGTCAGTATTAAATCTCCCTCTAGCGGATACCCGCTGTGCGCACCTCTTTCTTCTTCGAATTGGTATGACAGTTGGGTGGTAAACACGGTCTGTGCGGATTGTACGGTCTGCTCTTCCATAAAAGAGATTCGTAGCGAGGGTTCGTTGGGACGTTTAGGATGTTCTAAGTGTGGGACGGGGATTTTCGACTCGTTAACTAGAATGAGAGGAAAGTGTAAGCCGGTCTGTAGCCGATATGCCACGGAGGGGTACAGACAGGTATGAATTAATGGGGTTTGCTGGCCAGGACCACCTCCGAGCTCTAGGCATCTGAGGCTTCCAGTGGTATCCTTGCGTACATCGATGTAGGTATAACGGAGCTTGAACAGTTTGTTACTCCGCACGAAAGTACTGCCATGAAGTCAATGGAAGGAAGAACACACAGGCAAAAGTAGGGGCCCACCCACATGGTGACGGTATTGTTGAGCGGGATGTGGATGACTTCCTCGTGTAGCGAGTAGCACGAGGCTTCTCTCGATCGCGAGCCTACAGAGGAAGCCGTTCTGCTGAGGGGATACGAAGTGAAAGGCGAGGTGCCCGGACTGATCTGGCCGGACGATTGGGTTGATGAGGACAGAGTACTTTCTCGCCGGGAAAGTGGAAGAGGCCAATCTTCGGAACCGTGTTGAAGGCCGGACAGCCCCATTGCAGAGGGGTTGCAAAGAACCGATAGATATCTCTTCCTCGCAGTGATAGACGCGACGGTTCACTGATTGAGGTGCTGCAAGAGGCACTATGTTACCGAGAGGAGGACGATCATGCGGATCCCCAGAGGCGGACTGACGTACGGGGAAGGGCGCTGATTTTCACCATCTCGAATGCTCTAGTGAATGGAATGAGTCGTGAGAAGCGCCTCGACGCATGGCCAGCGATTCGATCACACAGTCACCCGGATGGCCTGGTGTGAGTGGATTCACCTACAGTATTAATCGGACCCAGAAACATAACCCGCTCCGCCCAGCGACCGATAAGAATGCGTCTCAAAAGTGCCAGTACATGGGACTTAGTGGATGCCAAGGAGCGTTTCTTCCCGGGGACCCAGAGGCGGGGGATAACCTGTCAACGTGCGCAAACAAGTGGCTGCCAGCAAAAGCTTGGGGGGGAGAGTTGGGTGGGTGGAGCCCGGACGGGGAGAGGGGATCGTGTCTGGACCCATCCGGGCAGTTAAGGTAGTCTGAGTCCCTCGTGGTGAAGGCGCACTCCCGTTCACGCTACAAGATTTGTGCCTCGGAACCAGGTGCTGAATTCTCAGCCAATGTTTGGATAGTTAGATCATCTTCCACGCATTGCATCATGGTGGAAGGAGTGGGTGAGGTCCTAGTTATCCTGTTTGATGCCCGCCGTATTCTTTTAACCCTGCTCGTAGGTCCCGGGTCATAGTGCCGGTTCTCCAAATCGGAGGTGTTGACTTGCCCACGTTCATCAAGCACCACCACCAGCAGTGAAGGGTTAGTTAGTGCTGGAGCATAACTCTTTCGTGCAGTGACCTGCATTGGATCGTGGGTCTGTCAATCAATCGTTAATCAATCGCCCACTCTGCACGGGAACAATCATGGCCCGTCCGAATTCCTGTTGGGTCCATCGAATCGAACGACCATAGAATGATCGAAAGGCGACATTTGCAGGCTGAGATCGGCAGGCTTACTCAGCCATTGTCCCTCCCCCGTGCCGAGTCACTCTCCATCGCATAATTCAAGTTCCATGGGTGGCCCAGATTTTGCTTCACGTTCGCCTCCGGCCAAAGAGAACCCAAAACAGTAGAATGGAAAGGAAAATCGTATTATTAAGTCTATGTACCTCTATCTGCAACACTCACTCCAGGAGCAAAGCATCCTTGAATAGCAGAATATAACATCGAACAATCGAAAGAAAACACATGCAAAGGCACCAACACCGGCTAGGAAGTATAAAAAAGGTGTGAAAATGTCCGAGGATGGGAGATTTGCGATAATCAATGAAGAGATTGCGGTATCTATGTGACAGTACAGCGGTCACGCGACGCTGACTTCACTTCGCAGCCGGTGGACGGTATGGTATTGGTAAGGCGACCATTCCAGGGAGCAGTTGGATTTGTGGGTATAGAGCGGGCAATTGCCGAGAATCGAAAACAATATATAACCTAGAATGCGGCCCAGTGGATGGGACACTGGAAGTCAAGTTAGCATATCCGGCCGAAAGTTTGTGACGCTGATTTGCGGGACTCGGCTGCTTGAGACGGGTGCGCATAGCCGGTGATGGGACGCTTGCCACTGAACTTACTTTTTGTGTTTATCAAAGAGGCAACGACGACAGGGTTGAGCCGGATACGATATATGACTGGCAGGGAGATACAAGCAGTGCTCTTGTGCAGGTTGCGAAAAGGACGGCCACGACACAACGACGGCGACTTCGGCTGTCGCATGCAACCAATGTGAGCTCCAGTCGGCAAGTCGCGGCTGCGCCGGTCCGTAGAGCAGTCTGCTTCCAAGCCTTTCGATATCGATACCTGCGGACGATCCCTCGGCCTGTATGAGCTGCAATGCGGCACCAAAGCATAGCTTGGACGGAGCGGGGCCCAAGGCGCGCACCACTGCTTCACCAAGCCGGTTCACACCAACGCTGAACAATATCTCTTATCCAGACCTTCCTGTCTTACTCGGGGGGTAGCCTATTGACGAGGCTTCTGCGCGATAATTCGGTAGCTCGTCGACACTAATCGCATTTTGTCCATCTTCACGAACGCCTCGCCATCGAGGCATAGGCGATTGATCAGGGTCTTGAAATGTTTGGGCAGCATGTGGGCCTTGACGAGGCCTAGGATAAGCTGGCGCATTGAACGGAAGTAGAAGTCAACCTTGTCGATGAGCGGGGCTTGCAAGCCTCCAACACTGGCGTTGTCAGAGCGCAGGACTTTGAAGCCGGCATCTGTGAGGGCTTTCTCGAGGCTCTCGGGCGTGGGAGTACCGACGGCGCCGATGAGAGGCTTCACGCGACTCATGAGTTCGGCGTGTTCGGAGTTGGAGGGGTCATAGTCAGGCAGGCTGACCCAATCGAGGCAGGAGAATTTGGCGCCGGGCTTGAGAACGCGGTAGATCTCGCGGAAAAGAGTGGGGAGGTCTTTGCACAAACTCAGGGCCTGGATCTGGTAAAAAGCGTCGAAGCTGGCATCTTCAAAGGGGAGGGGCAGGCTGTTGAAATCCTGGACGACGAAGGAATTGGAGCTGAAGCCAAGCTCCTCGTTGTAGGAGCGTGCCTGAGCAATCTGGTTGGGGTCGATGTTGAGGCCGGTGACTTGCGCGCCCGAGTATTGCGTCATGTGGGCGGCCACCCGCCCGCGCCCGCAGCCCAAATCCAGCACTTTATCGCCCGGCGACAAGCCGATATCCTGCGCAATTGACTCTTCATACAACAGCTGGTTCTCCAGCACGGTCGCCTTCTTGCTCATGTACGGCGGAATATACATCTTCTCCACGTCGCCTAACGCACAGAGGTGGTTGAGAACGCCATAGTACGCCTTGAGACAATCGCCAACCTTTTCCTGATAGTTCGGTCCCAGCGTCTCGACCATCTGCTTCTCATCCGACCAGTCCAGGTTGTAGATGACGTAGGAAGCCATAAAGTCATCGACCTGCTTGGGTGTCAAATTGTGAAGGTATCGGAAGGACTTCCAGAATGTCTTCCATCTCTTGGGCGAGGCCGAATTTTCGAGGTCGGGCAGGCTGTCGTGCGCCGCCAGCTTCTGTTTTTCGTTGGCGACGGCATCCAAGGAGGAGCTGCTCTCCGAGCTCCGTCCGGATTCGCGCGATGCCAAGACGGTTTGCGTTTCCATTATATATACTCAACGATGAAGTCACGACTGGGAATCCACCAGTTCACAGCTGCCAAAATCACCTGCGCGCAATCTTCACTCTAGGATTGAGTCTCTGGTAAAGAAGGACCAGGGACGATAAAGATTTTGGGGGAAAACGAGAAGAAGAGGGGGGGGGGAGGTTTAAGAGGAGTTCAAATAGAACGGTAAGAGACGGCGGTTAGAGCTACTGTCCAAACGATACCATGCCAATTGTGCAGTTCGTCTTGCAAATGGAAAGAGAGCGGGGCTAGGCTTAATTTATAAGCATTGCAACAGCGTGTAATTGAAAATTTTCCAAAAGGCGCCCTGTGACGGGTATCTTCTTTTCGAACAACGGCACTGGCCGGCGCCGGCACCGAAGGGGGGGCAATCCTAATAAGACGGATGGATTTGCCAGATTTGCCAGATTTGCCAGGTGACTTGCCATGGATACTAGTTGGCGATGGTCAATGTGGATTGCAGTGGTCTTGTCACCAGATCTGGCAACCAGAGTCGGAAGTCTCGGAAGCTGAGGGTGAGGGTCGAAAAGGGTCGATAGGGTCGAAGAGAGACCAAAGAAGCAGCACGGGAGGAGACGGCAAGACGACGAACCGGAAATGGACAGACAGCGCTCTGGATTCAATGATGAATTTTACGAACTATGGGCTTAACCACCACTCAGATTACAGGACGAATGACTTGCATCCTTGGTGGTCGCTGACCGACTATCTTAGTCTCTAGCTATCTACTTACGACATTTACAGACCAGGTAGCTGTCAGCCCCTCTTCCCAACCGCCAGGGTACTTTAGGGCTGGCTATAAGTTAGTATAAGTATGTACATGTATGATGTCGGAGGTGTGCATTAGTTAGGGTCAAACTACTTCCTTCAAGAGCCTAGTCGGGACTTGCTTATGGGATCGGGCCACTAAATTCAAGCTCCCACCCCGGTCCTTGGTATGAGTCAAAGGGTCTCATTAATTACTCAGTTGTTAGTGCCATTGTCTAGGGCCTTCCTATCACCTCACAGACCTCCTCTTTCCCCTCTTGATCGTCTCGAGTTCTCCTCCCCGAAGAAGTTTGTCGATACCTGAGGTGGACGGAGTACTTGTCCGCTGCTGTCGTCGTCACGGACAATTGATGACGAGGGCTTAGTCACATAGTCAAAACATCGAATATCAAGATATCAACTTCCACCAGCACGTTGTTGTCGACTGATTAGCTGGCTACTGAACTAGCTACCTAGGTAGTTAGTTACTACTCATGAAACCTTGACTAACCTGAAAGATTCTCAGAGTTTTTGTGTGCTGTGGTCAGCAATGGTCGGCCAGCTGCGGCATTCGGGGCCCGGACCCAGAGCGTCCATTCGGAGCTCCTGCAGCGCCAAGCCGTGTAGTGGTCCTTCCTTCAGCATGAGCTGACCAAGCGTCGTGCCAATTCAATTCAGTCTTGGCGGTCGATGCTTGATCTGTTTCACTGAAGTACTTCTGTCTTCGGAATCGGATGTTGCACAGGCGATCTATCTCCAACAACATCCGCTCTTATACCATTGCTGTGACTGCAGAAGACAGCATTAGCAGCTCCCCCTCTGCACACAAGAAATTTGTTTCAATAGTCCGGGAAGAAATATGGAACGGGACCCTCTTCGGACTCGGGGGTAACGACTAGTTTGCCCTGTAGGGAACCATTGGCTCCGAGATTGGAGGTGACGAGCTGAAAATTTTCAAATTTTCACTTAGGAAGGAGGGGGTTTGATAATCCATCCCATTCATGATTCATCCCTTCATCCCCTGGCGCGGCTCTGACGGCTCTCGCGTCTCTCGATCAGGCAATTCACCGCGTCTCTCCTTCGGACTTGTAAGCCGAACAATCCGCCGCCCCACTCGCGTGCTCATTTCCCGTATTTCCGCTTCCACCCTCAACCTGACTCGCCATCACACCAATCTCAAGTTAACGATATACCTTCGGTTTTCCGGCTCATCTCCATTTTAGGATTTGCTTGACAGACTGAGCCATTTTTTTTGTTCTACACATAGCTTTGTTATGGATCTATGATTTCGGCTTTAGGGATCATTCTCGTTCCATCGCCATCTCTCAACCGTTGCTCGGATCTCTTCGGAGTCTCGGACGGAGATTATGCTGGGCGAGCGACGCTGCGAAAAAAAAAAGAAAAGAAAAGAAAAGAAACAAGATACTGCTGTCGATCGTCAACATCCGCCCTCTCGCGACAGATACTGTGAAAGATCACCACCATGTCATCCACCATGCTTAGTGTCTCCTGCGGCGGAGGGCTGGCTGTTCTCGCTGGGGCCTCGTTGTAGTTTCCTTGTCCAGCATGGATTAACGGCTGATGGTCAGATTGACAGTCTACGCATTGACTGTTTGTTTTTACACTATAGCGCTGTCTCCGTTGTTGATCAGCATGGTAGCGACGTGACGTGGCTGGCCGTGTTGCACACAGATCCTTGCGCCTGCAGGGCACGGGACGGCACCTGTAAGAGGGGGTGGTGGTGGTGGTGGTCCGATCCTGGCTATTGCGCTGGTATCTGATTGGGATTGAACTTGAAGCCGTTACCATCATTTTTGGCATGAATCCACATCCATCACGGTGCGCATTAATAATGCTACCCATCAGTTTATCACACGATGAGTTGGTCTCCACTTTGGTCGGCCTGCAGCCCGCCCATTGCAATCCAGTGCTGCTTCCTGAGTGGCCCGTTGCCTTACTATACCTCTGGTCCAAATCTCCTGGTGGAGTTTTCTTCTTCGCTCGTGGGATCTCTTCATTCAATTTTTTTGGGTTGATTGATTGTGTTTTTTTGCATTTCTCGTGACAAGGTAGGGAAAGGATTGAGAAAAAATATCTTTTTTCTAGTCTGCACGTGACCGACCGGTCTTTTGACCCATTGCCCGTGTTCGAAATAGCGCTATACATCCGTCTTATCCCGGGCAAGAAGCTCAACACCAACAATGGAGGGGTTTTTTACACGAACACACAACGTACAGCATCGAGAAACGTTCAAATAAGCTTACATTTAAAGCTCAGTGCATCCGAACCATCGGCGGCAGCTCTATCCTCCAGTTGGGATGGCCAGCGCCTGTTCCCGGGTCCACTTCATTAGGCAGCCAGATATCACTCCAGGTCCCCTTCATCGCATGCACCGAAAGGGTGTGTGTCTAGGGTCTCTTCTCGGGTCGGGTTGAGTGGCAAGACGAGCTCCCCCCCTTCACCCCTCCTGCTTCACGCTTACTTTCGGGTCTCTCCAATCATCAAGCACCGTCGAGTCTCGGGTGGTGATGGGGACCCGTCGTTCATAGGTTAGGCTAGGTTGTGGCTCTGGCGGAGGGAGGGAGGAAGAGGAGGAGGAGGAGGAGGAGGAGGAGGGAGAACAGCTAATCCCGTCCAGCGAGGAGGGTCTCCGACCCGATCCACCGGTGTAGTACACAGTACATGACAGGCGGGTCAGATACGGTGCACGGGCAGGTACAGTACCTCGGGATCGAGTGGCCGGCAGCAGGCGGCTGGGTTGGGGCTGTTCATGCCCTTGGCTGAGTTTGCTTGGTGTAGTCAGTCCTCCAATAGGCACTGACAGGGAGGACGACCGTAGTCGATGAGAGACGCCCAGCAACCCGCACATCCGTTCAATGCTAGACCCTGATCCTCCGGGCATGGTTCTGGAAGTAGGATGGATTGGCCACATCTTGTATCTGGCCAAGAACGAAGACCCAGTGTCCTGCATGGCCGACGTATGTACAGTACATGAACCCGGCAGAGGAGAGTGCAAAAAAAAGTCTCATCAAGCATGATGAGTGCAGGCTAGAAGTCTCTGAGTAAGACTGACCTCTGAAGGGACCGGCGAAGTAGACACCCACTCGTACGCAGCATGCATTCCCCGCCCACTGTCTGTTCTAGTGGTTTGGGTCTCAATCCCAGCACAGTGGCACATCTCACTTCGTCGGCCCAGAGCTAGCCTGCCTGCCCTTCCTAAGTACTGTACTGTAGTTACTTCCGTCTATTCCGAGGGGCGCCCTTCCTCTCTGCACTGGCAGTGCCAGCGTCACGGGTTGGAAGCCCGGGGGCTAAATCCACACATAAATCTTTCCCTTTCTCCCCCCTCCTTCCCTCTCTTTATCTCTTTATCAAGTTCTTTCTTCATATCCCCAATCGAGACCGATGTCTCCCCAACCTGAATCAGACAAGAAACATCTCACTTCCATCCGAGCTTCCCCTCCCATCTACTCCTTGTAGATGCACGTGCATCCACAAGTTCTACCCAACCCACAACGTCCACGAGGTACTATACCCAACCCGACAAACCACCATCTCCCCCGCCATCGACTCCAACAGTCACCTGTCCTGTCTTCCGAGTATCTCATCACCTCCTATCATCCAGCATAACACCATAGCCATACCCTCGGGTGTATCCCCGCATGCAAGCTCCGATCAAAAATCCCAATCTTTGACCATCACCATCACTAGCCCCAAATCCGGAAACCCCAATCACTCCCGTCTCTCCTACACAAAGAAGAACAGACACTACTATACTGGAGACAACTCGACGATCGTGGGACGGTGGGACATTTGGTTCGCGAACACCTCACGAGATACATTGTTCGTTCATACTCCCGTTTGTGCGAACCAGCGCCTCCAGAAACAGGCCTCAAGCAGGTTCTCTAAGGTGTCTCTCGGTGGGGCTGCGGAATGGACTGGAACACACACGGCATCTGCAGCGAAACGCCGGCGGTGGAAACGTATGGGTGTTGTGTTTCTTGTCAAGGGAATGACGGCCCTACCGTGGAAGAGCTGGGGAAGAACGGGCCTGCAAGACTTGTCATATCAATTCCTTCGGGGGAGTGAGCATGATATGTAGTTCTTCCATCGGAGTCTCAACAGAGGTTAAGGGACTGTTCATGGATATCGAGACGGTGCTGGGTAAATGCGGGACGGTATCATGACCTTACTTCGAGTATGAGACGCCAATTTGAGCATAGGAGATGCTTACTGATAGTCAGATTGTGGGGTGGCTACCTACTAGTACTGAGCTACAGTTGACTGTTGGTAGCACTCACTACGCTACACCTTACGACCTAAAGCCGGCATCCATACGTATCTTCTATCATTTGAAGAAAGAACAAGGCAAGTCTTACTAGTCCAAAAAGTATCCTGCAATCGATACCGGCTCCTACAGCAAGCAAGCTGACCCGTCCACGTGATCCTTGGTCGAATCGATGACCGCCTATCATTACCGAAATGCCAAAATCAACTCTATCCTCACGCATATTCTCAACCCAAGAAGTCTTCCCGGGTGATCCCACTCTGGTCACACATATTGCGAAAGACGCCCCCGGCCTCCCACAGCCGCAGGGGCGTGTCCATCTCCGCGATCTGTCCCTGGCCCATCACGCAGATCCGGTCGTACTGCAGGATCGTCCGCAGGCGATGCGCGATGCACAGCAAGGTCTTGCCCTCGAACCCGTGCGCCATCGTCTCCTGCACCTTCTGATCCGTCTCGAAGTCCACGGACGAGGTCGCCTCGTCGCAGACGATCACCCGCGAGTTGCGCACGAGAGCGCGCGCCAGCGCCATCAGCTGTCTTTGGCCGAGCGAGAAGTTCAGTCCGTCCTCTTCTACCACGGTGTCGAGATGGAGGCGTTTCTGCACGGGCGTACCCGTGTCGGTGAGTGCGGGGGTGGCGGTTCCTTCATCGGAGCTCTTGTCCACGGCTTCCTGGTCGACCAAGTGCGCTTTGCGAAGCGCGGACCAGAGCTCGAGGTCAGTGTGTTCGTTGAATGGATCCAGATTCGAGCGGATGGTTCCCTTGAATAACGTCGGATCCTGTGGGATGATCGACAGCCGCGTGCGGAGATCATAAAGCCCGACGGTGGCGATATCAACCCCGTCGATGTGGATCTTGCCCCATGACAGTTCGGTCAGTCGGAACAGAGCGGACATGATGCTGGACTTGCCCGCCCCCGTGCGACCCACGATCCCAATGCGTTCTCCGCCTCGGATTTCCATGGAAAGTCCCCTGAGCACCAGAGGGAGCCCGGCTCGGTAGCGCATCTGCACGTCTTCGAATGTAATGCGACCGACAGAAGGCCACTCCTTTCCGACGTCCGTCAGGTGAAGAGGAGCCTCCTCTTCCAGCTGCGTGCCGTAGTGATTTACACGCTCGGCAGCATTCATGTTGTTATCCACATCGGCGAATTGTCGCACCGTGAATCCCAAGGTCTGGGTTATGGAAACCACATATGACAAGACCAAGCCTGCGATGCTGGGCGAGACATCCAAGCGTGAAGTCACAACCAGGAGACTCGTTACCAGAATCAACAAGGTGCCAACCATATCCAGTCGGACTCCGAGCCATCGTTGGTTGGCAAAGGTCAAGAAATAGGCGCCATTCATGTCATCGATGGCATTGTGAATAGATTTCTTGAAGTGCTCTTCTGCTTTGTATGCTTGAATGCACGCAGAGCCTGCAATCGCCTCGCCGAATCGAGCAAATACCTTGGAACGAAGGACTGCCTCATGCCGCTTGAGGTTGCGGGCCGACGCACGGTAGTAGCTTGCTGCGAAAAGAAATAAGATGACCAACGGTCCCAACGCTATCGCAAACTGGCAGCATCACAGTTAGAAAAGTACAGATGGCGGTTTCGGGAGTACTTACATAGTAGTAAAACGCAATCACCATCCCAATTGTGGAGGTAATCTGTGACAATGTCAAGACGAATAACCTAATCGAATCGGGTAGGTCGCTGTCCATCACTTGCACATCCTTCGAGAAACGGTTGGTGATACGGCCCATTGGCGTGGTGTCGAAGAAAGACATGGAGGCTCGTAAAATCCGATACATTGCACGCTGAAGCATTTTCTTGCTGGCATTGGCGCCCACAATTGTCACATGCGCCGCAAACGCATACATCGCGATGAATTGGCTGCAACAAACCGCGATGTAGATCCCGACGTACTGGCCCGTGGTCAATCCAGGATATTTATTGGAAGTCCAGAATGACAACCAAAGCCCGGACATGACCAGCGCGCCATTGACAACACACATCAAGCACAGAGAAACAGGAACATTGAGATACGATCCCGATGCTTTGACGTAAGTTCTCAAGACATCCCAGCCAACCGAGCCAGTTGCCATGTCCTCTTTCTGCATCAAGGCACCACCTGGCACTCTTCGCGCAGTTTCGGGTTTTTCGTCGGTAGTAGCGCTGGTGCTCGATGGTTCCTGATCCAAGGCGTCTTGCTGGGACGTCATGGACATGAGCCGCTTGAAGATGTCACTCGAGCGCGTCAGATCATCAAAAGTGCCAATCGCATGGATCTTCCCGTCCTCCATGACGATAATGCGGTCGCAACGTCCAAGCACGTGCAATTGATGGGTGGCGAGCACCCGGGATCGGTCCTTGAGAAGTCCGCAGATGGCATTATCCATGATGTGGCGTCCTACATGGGCATCGACCGCTGACAAGGGATCATCCATGAGCACGAGCTCTGAGTTTGAGTAAATCGCCCGAGCGATGTTCAATCGCTGCTTCTGGCCACCGGAGATAGTGATGCCACGCTCACCAATTTCAGTCTGATCTCCGTCCGGAAACATCGCCAGGTCCGAACGAAGTGCGCATGCATCGATCACCTCGTTGTACCGATCCGCGTCATACTCCCTTCCAAATAGTATATTGTCGCGAACTGTAGTATTTTGTACCCAGGCATACTGTGGGCAATACCCCCGAGTGGCGCCTATCCGAACACTCCCTGCTGTTTGTCTCATATCGCCCGCTAAGGCTGCCAGTAGTGAAGTTTTCCCGCTGCCCACCGATCCGATGACGGCGACCAACTCACCGCGGCCAATCTCAAAGTCCATTCCCAGTAACTGAAAAGGAGTCTTGGCGTCGGCCTCCCGCTCCGAGCGAGTGTCAGATGAAGCTGGCTCTGTTTTCCTCGGAGCGATTGCAGCTTGGCTGGGGCGGGAATGTACTGGGCTTTCCGCAGAGTCGCGCACTCCCTCCCAGGTGAATGAAGCATGTTCGACCTCAACAGCATTGGTCATCGTATAGTCCCAGGTAATGCTTTCTTCACGTTCTTCGGCCGACAAAAACTCTTGTATACGGTGAAGGGCGGTCCAAGCATCAGTCGCTTGCGTCATTGCGAGATTCAAAATAGCCAGTGGCATTCGGAGAGCATTGAACAGGGCCAACGAGGAAAAAATGCGATCAGGTGAGAGGGTGTGGTTTGTCAACGCATATGTGATAAAGGACAGCATCGAAGACAATGCCGGGAGCGAAAGCATACTGACTGTGATGGCATGTCGAATCACCAACAGCCGTCGGAGAGAACTGATTTCGCGCTTGCGCAGGTTCTCGAGTCGTTCTAGAAAGCTGCTTTCCCAACCGAAGAATTTCACGAACTTGACACTCGAAAGAATTTCCTGTGTCAAGGACACTCGTTTGTCGGTGATCTTGTTTACTGCTCTGCGGAGCGTGATCAGGGATTTGACACAGTAGGCCAGCAAAACTGCCCCGAATACTGCCAGCCCATAGCCTGGGAGTGCACTGTAGCCGATGTTGATAATCATAAAAATCAAAGCTACCCCCAAGACAACGGGTGTAGTCCAGAGCATATGAATCAAGCCACACGCTCGATCAATACGGTCCACATCCACACCCATCAACGTGATTATGCGTCCACTGCCCCAACCATTCCCCTCGCCATGGCCAGGACCTCCTCGCATGTTTTGCCGCTTGGGAGGCTTCTTGTCCTTCTGTCCACTGGCCAGTAGCACTTCGCTTCCAGCCTTCGCGCGCCCTGATAATTTCATTGCCTTGGTGTAGATTGCAGACACAAGCACCGCTCTGATCTGACCACCGCATATCATGCCGCGGTAGAAAGCCTGGCTCAGACACAGTGTTTGCACTGCTTGCATTGCGGGAATTCCAAACGCGAACCCGAGTCCACGGCCAAGGTTGGGCATGGGGTGATTGCCGTGATGGGCGGCATATGCGTCCATTGCGTAGCTAGTCAGGTTTCTGACAAGGTATGGTGTTACGACAGCGAGTATCATACTCACAACCTGGCATATACCGCCAATGATAAATTCCAGCCTAAATGTGTCGAATAGTGCCCATACCAGCGCCTTTTTTGAGCCCTTATCCGTTCGTTGTTTCAGTGCAGTATCGAATCTGGCCGTTAAAAGGTCCACTTTCCTGTCTGGATTGACAGACCATATATCTTGAATCTCTATTTGACGCAGGTATCCGGTCTGTTGTACATCATGAGCATGGTGTGGGTGAGTAACCGGGGTGAGCCCCAACTAACCTTGATCAATGGTGCTATCCATTGGAAGGTCACGCGACTGATGATGCTAGCCCCATACTCCTTACTGACTCCTCTTTCCTTCGGTATAGGTGGAACTTTCTGAAGTCGCAATGGGTTCAAACTCCGTCGCGCAGTCTTAGCCGGTGCTCTTGGGTGTTGGTTCTGTTTCTCATTCTCACTGTCCAGCTGCGTTGATCGAGAAGACGTTGTAAGCTCCGTTACTTGGCCTTTTCCTTCTTCTTCATTGATCAGCATCAATCCATGCTTCGGTGCCTCATTTTCACTCATGATGATTCAACTTTTGTCAAGCTAAATGAGTGATGAAATCGTATTTCTGGGGCGGCCTGCATCCGAAACTGGAGTTCAGATAAGCGCCCACTAAGCCCAACAGGCAGAATTGGAGCGCTCGCGGCAAAGAGCGTTGATGGAAATTAACAAAGCGGAAAGCTTCGAGTCAATCAAACAGGCATTGCGTGCATTTAGATTATATGCGACCGTGGCGACTGTCGGAAACAATGGGAAGCAGAAAACCGGTTATGCCAGAAAAGAGGGGGTGTCGATTCGAAGATAAAACATCCGGCAATCATTGATTGGCCACGTTTGTTAGTTTTTGTTGCTATCGTCCAGGGACCTGGAGATATATCTATCTCAGAGCCTTTTCAACGTCGGCCGATATGACTATGGATTGATTCTAGTGCTGATGTTAGTTGCGGTCCAGGCCAATAGATCCCGCATCAGGATAACCGGTAGCTATAAGTTCCATACGACCTGCACGTTATGTTGACTCGAAATGGGAGACAGAAGGATTGGAAGTCGGGACTGGCCTGACTGGGTGGTTTTGCATTTATGACATTTGGCGTTCCGTCCTCAAGGGCACGAGCAATAACAAGTCAAGAATCGCTCTGCCATGGTACTTAATGCGATAGCGAAATCAGGTCCTTATACGGAGACCGGAGGCTTGGTCCTTGCATAGTATATATCCGACGATCACATTCTAAGGAATGTTGCCGACGCCAGGGAAAATCCGGTGCCCGGTAATGGACTATCCTTGCTCCCTTGCAGATCAACATTCAGTCTTGGGCTGGACATCAAATAGGTTCGCTATTATCATCGTCGATGACTCGACCTGTACCGAGGATCGCAATGTAGCTGCCATGACTATTAGAACTAGCAGGCAGTGTAACCTCCGATGTATAGGATCGATCACCTTGATTGCGAGCCGAGAGTGGAATACCAGATGTGAGGGCCGATATGCACTAGAAGCGATCCGAATCAATAAGAGGGGGAAAGGAAACCAGGCTTGCTTTTTTTCACTGGAAAGAGAAAAATTGCATTTGCACCACACTAGACAGATCTGTGCTAGGTAGCAATTAATACTGCCGTAGCAGGGTGAGGGATTAATGGGAGCTGTTGGTCGAAGAGGGGAAAGAAAGAGGGGGTGGCAGCAAAAAGAGCACGGGACAACAAACAGCCCACCCATCAGCCGCACAGATATATTATGATAGGTAACCACCTGGCATGAGCCAGCACTGCCCAACTACTTACTTCAAATTCGATGAAAAATGTGCTGCTATCAATTTGTTGCTACACAATGCTTCTAAGGTCATAACATATCATTACAAGTCGTCATTCGCAACAAAGCTTGCCTGGCCCACCAATCCCCTTACCAAGTCTAGGATGTTGCATCCAGAAAAAATCCTGTCTTCTCTCGTACTTGTGACGGAAAAGCCTTTCAGTTCAGGTCGCTAGAAGCGAGCAAGAAAATGGCTCTGGCTCTGGGTGAACTAGAGCACCATCAGGCTGATACGTCAGGGATCGGGTGTCGACCATGAACAGGCCTCGTCGCAACTCAGGAAAGAACAGATCACGGCCTCTCATTGAGAGGTTGACTGACTGATCGCATCCTCCTTGCGTCCGGCTTCTAGTTCTCAAGGGTCACCTTGACCTTCTTCTCAGGCGGGGGGATAATCTCATCCTCGACCTCGCCGGTGAGAGTAGGCAGTTCTGCCACTGACTCCTTGATGATGTCCAGGGCCTTTTGAATCTCATCTTCAGTGATGACCAAGGGAGGCGCAAGACGGATGATGTTCTGGTGGGTGGGTTTGGCCTAACAAACACGGTGTCAGCAAATCTACGTTACCATCCACGACGAGCTGGATAGATTGAGACTTACCAGGAGACCCTTGGACTTCATCAACATACAGAGATCCCACGCGGTGCGACCATTTGTTCTCGACTCGTCAATAACGATGGCATTCAGCAGACCCTTGCCCCGTACAGTCTGGATGATAGGGTTTTGGATGGCCAGCAGGCCGTCGCGGAAGATGTGACCAAGCTTCTCAGCGCGCTCGACCATCTGTTCTTCCTGGACGACCTCCAGAGCGCGGATGGCAACCGCACAGGCCAGAGGGTTACCGCCGTATGTGGATCCGTGCGTGCCGGGTTCGATGGTGAGCATGACATCCTTGCGGCCCAGCACGGCAGACACGGGGTACATGCCACCCGAGATGGCCTTGCCCAACAGGATCATGTCGGGCTTGATTCCACTCCACTCGTGGCAGAGCAGCTTACCAGTACGGGCAATGCCAGTCTGGATTTCATCGCAAATCAAGAGGACATTGTGCTTGTCGCAGAGGGCTCTGGCCTCCTGCAGGTAATCTTCGTCGGGAACCACGATACCCGCCTCGCCCTGAATGGGCTCCACCAGGAAAGCGGCCAAGTTGGGGCCCGCCTTCTCGAAGGCCTCCCGCAGAGCCGCCTTGTCGTTGTAGGCAATAGGCTTGTCCGTTCCGGGAATGGTGCATCCGATACCGGGGAGATAGGGGCCATAGTTTTCGCGCGACTCGGGGTCAGATGACAACGAGATAGCGGCGAACTAACATCCATGATCATGTTAGCTTTGACTAATTCTGTTTGATAGGACCAAAATCGCAAGCCCACTTACCGTGCGTCCGTGGAAGTTGTTCTCCGCACTCAGGACGAGCGCCTGGTTCTCCGGAATCCCCTTCACCTTATAACCCCACTTCCGAGCGATCTTGATACCAGTCTCAACGGCTTCCGCACCTGTGTTCATGGGCAGGACCATATCGAACCCGAAGTACTTGGTAACAAATTCCGCGAAGCGAGGGAAGACGTCATTATAAAAGGCACGAGAGCTGAGGGTCAGCCGAGAGGCCTGTTCCACCAGAGCAGCTACCAGCTTGGGGTGGCAGTGACCCTGGTTGACGGCAGAGTATGCGGACAGGAAATCCAGGTACTCCCGACCCTCGGGGTCCCAGACCGTGGTGCCCTGAGCACGGGCGAAGACGACGGGGAGGGGATGATAGTTGTGAGCGGCATACTCCTTCTCAGCACCGATGGCATCCTGAGTGGTGGCAGCGTGATAGGAGTGAGCGCCATCGACACCGTTGGAGCCGTTGGCAGGCTTGGTGGCTTTGGTGGCTTTGGTGGCCATGGTGAAGACAAGTGATGTGGAGTATTATGCGGGGCAACGAAGAGGAGATTGAGTGGTAGGAAAGGTTGGTCAATGAGTCTGGGAAGGAGGAATAGGAAGAGAGGTAAGTATAACTGTGGAAAGAGAGCGGAGGAGAAGGAAAGGTGGGCGAGAAGAGGGAAGATATAAGAATTGCGCGGGCGGGCAGAAACAGGCAAATGTAGCGAGGCCAACGACAAACGAAGAGGAAAGGGAAAAGAATTGTTCACCGGCCGAGGAGGAAAAGGCAAGAAACGAGGGAAACGAGGATAACCAAGAGACAAGATGGGTGCAGATGAGAAATTTGCGGAGATGAACTAGACTCCTAAGTGCAAGTCTACGCGGATGATCCCTAAGTGCAGGTGTACCCGGGGCGGTTGCAGTTTAGTAGGCGGTTTGACCAGTTTACGATTTACAGTAACGTTGACTATCATCCACCCATTCTGACTAAGCCCCGGATAAGGATATGGTCGATCCACCGCGAGTTCCACTTTTGTCCATTTCTGTTCACTTTGTTTTTCCTTTGCCAGTTTGCCTTCTTCCATAAACCCAGTGACGCTCATTTTATTACTACTCACCACCACCACCACAACCTCACCTTCTGTTCAGAGTTCAGACCCACGCTACGCCACGCTGCGGATCCTCGCCTCCTCTCCTTTCTTATCGGTTCGGAGACCTGTCACAGTGACTGATGATTGGTGAAGCAGATTGGTGGTGATTCTGAATTCCTTATCAACAAACTTACTGTACAGTGTACACTACAGCAGTGCAGTTCCAATTCTCCTGCAGCCCTCCGTTTAGAGTCGGCTCAATTACATCACACTCTTCCACCACCACCACCACCACCACCACCACCATAACACTAGCATCATCATCATCAGCATCATCCAGGACCTGGGGATCATATCATCTGGTTCCTGACTGGGTTCCACTACTACTAATATGTCAGGCCGATCAAGAGCCTCCTCGCCTCGTTCTTCCATTCCCTGCTCCCCCTCCTCCGTATCCCCGGCTGTTTCTCTGGCTTCTGGCTTTCCCTCGGATGACCCCGACGGGCCCTTATACTTGCCTCGCCAACTGAGGCCGCGAACGCCTACTCCCTCCCCGCCCCGCTTCCCTATCCTACCTTCTCCACCCGATTCCCTACGCGTCTTCCTCTACTTGCTTGCTTTTCGACTTTTAAATGCCTTGACTACCCGCACCTTCTTCCAACCCGATGAATACTTTCAGTCTTTGGAACCGGCCTGGCAGGCGGCCTTTGGCGAAAACCACGGGGCTTGGATCACCTGGGTGAGCTTTCCCCCCTTCCCTTTCTTTGTCTTCCCGCTATTGGCGGAACGCGTCTGCACCTTTACGGCATCGCTCCCCTTGGTCCCCTTGGGTACTTTGCCCACCCTCCAACACCAATTTGGTCTTCTGCGTTCTGTTCGCTCTCACACCAATCCGCCCGGTTTCGGTGACTAATTGCTTCACCGCATGGTGTCATCTTACAGGAGTGGCGGCACCAGTTGAGATCCTCGCTTCACCCTCTCTTCTTTACCGCTGTTTATTCCGCTGCCAACGGGCTCGCTTGTGCTTTGCACCTCTCCCCTGCATGGCAGGCGGATCTTCTCATTGCCGCTCCGAAGACGGCGCAGGCCGTTATCGCAGCCCTCGGAGACTACTATACCTGGAAGCTGGCTCGCTGTGCCTATGGTCTAGCCAGTGCAGAGGCCTCAGCTGCGGTACGTATCAGATTGTAACTTGACATGTCCACCGCAGAAAGACTAATTGGGAACCCAGCTGGCTCTGACCGCCCTTAGCCCTTGGCAATGGTTTTGTTCTACCAGAACTTTGTCCAATTGCCTTGAGACAACGCTCACCGTTATCGCTCTATATCTGTGGCCGTGGCAATGGTCGGTGGCTCCGAAAGCCCCCATACAAGCCAAACCGACTGGCCGGGTAATCACCACGCCCTGGGATAAGGTGAGAGAGGGCCAACGGCATCGGCATGATAAAGTGGTTCTCGGAAGGTATGTTATGCTGTCCTGCAGATGTGAAAGCTGCTATACGAATGGCTAATTTGAGGACATGGAGAATAGGCTGAGGCAGTGTCTCCCGCTTGCAGCCCTGGCCTGTATTTTGCGGCCCACAAACGTCTTGGTTTGGCTGATCCTAGCAAGCGTCGTATTGCATCGCAGCACCTGGGCGCGAAGAAAACTTTTAGCTCGCGAAGCTGCAATTTGGGGGTAAGTCGTCTTTATCCTGCATCATGGATCTTGCATTGACTCCATTCCAAGCGCCGCTGTCCTAGCCGTATCAATCGTGGCAGATCGATTGTTCTACGGAATTTGGACCTTTCCTCCTTTACGATTCCTCTACTTCAATATTGCCCAGTCTCTGGCTGTTTTCTACGGGCGCAACGATTGGCATTACTACCTCTCCCAAGGCTATCCTCTGTTGCTGACAACTGCGCTCCCGTTCACCTTTGTGGGCCTGTATCGTGTTTGGGCACGCTCGCAGGCAGCCGCTAGCCATGACCTCCAAGTTGAAACGCAGACTCAACTGCAAACTCAACTGACTTACGTGTGCCTTTCCATGCCGCTTGTGCTCTCATTGATTTCCCACAAGGAAGTGCGGTTCATTTATCCATTGCTGCCAGCGCTGCATGTTTTGACCTCTCCAGTCTTGGTGGACTTCTTTGGCCCTGCCGTGACTCAGTCGGTTGGCAGGCACATTCCTCGCCGACTGCTTTTAGTGTTTCTTGTGCTGTGCAACGTTGTCATTGGGCTCTACACCACAGTCTATCATGCGTCTGGGCCGAATGCTGTGTTTTCATACCTTAGAGACCAACGGCGAGTCCATGGTTCCAAGAACCTGAGTAACATCAATGAGCCCGGCATTATTGCCGGTTTCCTCATGCCATGCCACAGCACCCCGTGGCGTTCTCATATGGTCTATCCCTCCATCGATGCCTGGGCGCTTTCTTGCGAGCCTCCCATTGGAATGAATGCTACCGAAAAGGCGGAGTATCGTGACGAAGCCGATCAGTTCTATGACGATCCCTCCGGATTCCTGCGTGCCAACATGGCCGGCGGATTGAGCTACTTTCCCCGGCGACCAAGCTACCAGTCCCACTTGGAACGGTCCCGATCATCTCTACGATCCGAGGCTACCCTTAAGCACAACTGGCCGGACTACCTCATCTTCTTCGCCCAGATGGAACCCACGCTCAAGAAACTGCTCCGTGGTTCTTCTTACGGCGAATGCTGGCGCACTCACAATACTGATTGGCACGACGACTGGCGTCGTCAGGGCGATATCGTGGTCTGGTGTCTAGACACAACCGAACAGCTGGATTGGAGGACCGCGAAACGCTCTCGCCAACTCCAACAGCGCGGTCGTGTCTTCAACCGCGTCGTTCAGGCCATCAAGAATCAGGGCCAGGGCGGCAGACTCCAGTGGTCGTTCCCCTGGACCTCCTTGCGTCCCCAGTCCTCGTCCTGGTCATGGCTGTGGCCATGGTACCGGCGGCCCAAGCATACCGTGCTTGGATTTGAGGTTCCAGACTGGCTGGATCGCCTCTGGGATTATGTCTGGTAAGGATCTTGACTACGCAACACCCGTTCTTTCCTTCGCATTTCGTACGCATGTACACAAACTTTATACCCATCTCTTCTTTTTTATACTTCACAATCTCTCTATATGTGTCTATAATCTGGCTCATGCTTGAGGTCTTCCCAGTCTGATCACGCTCGCTGCCACTGTATCTTTTTTTCCGCGATCCTGCTCACGGTTGCACATACTTGGAAATATTCTATACATTGGAATACATACCTTTTCCCCTTCCATCTGGTCGAAAACGAGCGGAGATGAAGCTCGAGCAGCCTAAAGTATTTGCCCTTCCTTCAGATCACATACACCGAGGTGATCAAGGGGCTGTGGTGGCTGGAAGTCACGTGACTTATCTCACCTGTCCCGACGACAAATGCCACTCGAGGAATGTTTAGTTTGATCGCTGCCTCCGTTTCTGTCGTAATTAGATTCGCAAGAAGGGATCATGGCATGCCATGTATAGTTCAGAGAAGAGTGCTGTCATATTTGGTATCTTTCGTGGCCCCCGTGGGGGACCAAATCAATGTACTATCTGCCCAAAAGAAAATATTCTACAAAAATGTGAGGGTGTACGTATGCATTTAGACCTCGCGCGGCCTTGAGTGTCCTGATCCTAGCGATCGTCAACACGAATGCGAGCCAAGTGGTCGCTTATAGCTTGCCGCCCTGGGAATAGCCGTTGGTCTTCAACCAGGATCCAACGTCGGCGCGGTCACGGTTGACCCAGTTGACCTTGGCACGAATGGCATCCAGACTCTGCTCGACGGCACGGTCGAATCCCTAATCACCAATGTTAGTGTCATGTGACTAGTTATAGCAAAGCCGGGGAGAAGGAAATTACCTTGGTGTCCTTGCTCTTGAAGAAGGTCTCGACCTCCTTCAACTGGGCCTCCGTGCAGAAGCTGGCGGTGCTGAGCTGAATAACAGTGCCGAGCATACCCAGCGACGGGGGCAGGCGCTTGAAGATGGCATCCCAGTTAGTGGTCAACCAGGTCCAGCGAGCCTCGATACCGTTGGTGTGGCTGCGCAGGCCGCTCAGGGGCATGTAGATGTCCTGGTTCTTGACCTCGTCGCCACTGGCCAATTCCAGGGTGCGCTTGATCAAAGCCGGGTCCTCGGCGGCACCCAAGCAGCGGAGGGCGGTGGTCTTCTCGTCCGAAGTCGGGGCGTTGCGGAACCGGTCCAACACAATGTTGTACTCCTTCTCACCGCCCTTCTTCAGCACAATGCTGAACACGCTGCCGCGGATGTTGGGGTGAATGGCATTGGCATCGCCGGCAGCGAACCGCTCGAACATATCGTGGGCCGCCTTGACGACGACCGGATCCTCAGCCGAGCCGGCACTGCCGAACATCAATGCCTTGAACTGCTGCAGGATGTGTCCGTCCTTGTCAGAGAAGTCCCATCCAAGCTCATGGGCCTTCTCGCTGACCAAAGACCGCTGGAAGGCCTTCAGGGCATCCTTGCTGGAAGCATCCTCAAACAACCAAGCGGCCCGGAGAGCACCGATACGGGTCAGAATCTCGTTCCACACAACGAATTCCGACTCGCTGTCGAATCCCTTCAGAAGAGACAGGAGTCCGGAAGTGCTCTGGAAGCCAGACGCCGCGAGAGCACCCGCGTCGGCGATCATACCAGCACGGTCTTCGACGGTGAGGAGGCCATTCTTAGCAGCCTGTCCCAGCTTAGTGAGACGCTCGGGGGTGTAGGAGGTGCGATAGATGGCGGAGTGATCAGCGTTGAGCTTGAAGAAGTCCAAATCGGGAACCTTAAATTCGCCTTCCCGCTCGCTCAGCATGGTATCTTCATCGAGACCCTGCTTGGTCCGCAGACCCAGGATGACTGGGTAGAGCGTGGTATCCTCCTCAGGGCGGACATCGCCCGTTCGCAGGAAGCGGTTCTGCTTGACCTTGATGGATGAGGTCTTGGCATCCTCAGAGACAGTGACAACGGGGAATCCCACGTTCTTGGTCCAGATGTCCATCACCTGCTCAACGGGCTTGCCACTAGCATCAGCGAGAGCAGCCCACAGGTCACCCGTCTGGGTGTTGCCATAGGCGTGCTTCTTGATGTAGTTACGGACACCCTGCAGAAACACGTCCTCACCCATGTACTTGGAGATCATGCGCAGAACGGACGAGCCCTTGGAGTAAGAGATGGCATCGAAGATCTGGTTGATTTCGTCGGCACGCTTCACAGGCACCTCAATGGGGTGACTGCTGCGGAGCGAGTCCAAGGACAGGGCGCTCTGCAGGTTGTCGATGACGTAAGTCTGCCAGACCTTCCACTCGGGATAGAAGGCGTTGCAAGAGTACCAGGACATCCAGGTGGCAAAGCCCTCGTTGAGCCAGAGACCATCCCAAAAGTCCATGGTGACCAAGTTTCCGAACCACTGGTGAGCCAGCTCGTGCTGAACAGTCTCCGCGATGCGCTCCTTGCGGGCAGCACCGCTCGTCTTCTCATCCAAGAGAACATCGACAATACGGTAGGTGATCAGACCCCAGTTCTCCATAGCACCGGCGCTAAAGTCAGGAATGGCCACCATGTCCATCTTGGGCAGGGGGAATTCACTGTCGAAGGCCTTCTCATAGAAGGCCAGGGTGCGAGCAGCCAGGTCAAGCGAGAAGCGACCGTGCTCAATGTCCTGATCGGGTGTGGCATAGACGCGGATAGGGATGCGGAAGGCATTGGTCTCGATGTACTTGAGATGGCCGACAATGAAAGCGACGAGGTAGGTGGACATGAGAGGAGAGGTGTTGAACTTGACCGCCTTCTTGCCGCCGTCAACCTCGGTCTCGGAAGCAACATCCATGTTGCTCAAGCAGGCCATGCTCTTGTCAGCGACCAGAGTGATAGTGAACTTGGCCTTGAGAGCGGGCTCGTCAAAGCAGGGGAAGGCCCGACGAGCATCGGTAGGTTCCATCTGAGTTGTAGCAATGTACTTGGTTTCACCATCGGAGGTCTTGTATGAGGAGCGGTAGAAACCGGCCATGTTATCATTGAGCTCGCCGGTGAAGGTCAGCTTCAGCTGGGCCGAGGAGCCAGCGGGGATAGTCTCGGAGAACTTGACGGTGGCGACCTGGGTGTCTTGGTTGATGGTGACCTCGGGCTGGGAGGCCACGACAGAGCCCTGAGCAGAAACAACGGCATTGTGAATCTTGATCTCGTTGGAGTTGAGGGAGATGGAATTGGTATCTTCGGTGACCTCGAGGCTACAAGAGAATGTTAGTTGAAGCTGCAGCTAGCGCACAGGAGCAGTCGGGATGGTGAAGGAGCACATACTCGACGATGACAGTTCCGTCATAGGTAAAAGCCTCAAAGTTGGGCTCGAGAGTCAAGTCATAGTGAAGGGGCTTGACGTTGGTGGGCAGGACTTCACGACCGTGGGTGATGTTGGTCGAGCCCGACACTTCTCCACGACGTGTACCGCACATCCTGCGACAAGAGCAATAACGCTTTTGGAGCTTGGGAAGAGTAGTGGAGCGAAGAGGGGAACGACGAAGGACGGGAGGGGAAGAAGTGGAGGCAGAGAGGGAGGGGAGAGGAGAAGAAGATGATGATGAGGAAGAAGCAGAAGCAGAAGCAGAAGCGAGGGATGAGAGAGAAGATATAGAGTGTGAATGAGTGGGGAGAGTAGAAGAGGAAGAAGAGGTGGGGGAGGGGCAGAGCGCATAGGAAGGTCTGATGCTGGCGGAGCTCCGGCGAAGGAGCGGTAACCGTCGGGCTGAGGTAAAGCGACGCATCTTCTGGTTGTCACACTTATTATGATTCCGAATGGGAGGTGGAAATGAAAAACAGCCAGTGAGTGATAAGATAGCTAGAATTGGGATTGGAGAAGCTCAACCGAGGCAGAGCCAGGCAAGCAACGAATGAGGAAAGTGACAGCTGAATGGAACGAACTCAAACAAGCGCAATTGTCATTCACATTCACCTGCTGGCTCATGGAGAACAATCCCTTCGAATCTCTTTCAACCAAAGCTTGAAGGCGACGAGGAAGAATTTCTCGTCCAGATAAGCAGGCGGTGAGGCCTCGTTTGAGCCGTATGAGCTGTATGGGCATCGGTATTATTACCGTCCCATTACTGATCCGTCACGGGTCACGGGGTGACTAGTCCCCAAGCGGTCAGTCTTCAGGGCTTGGAGCTTGTCAGGGCTTCTCCGCATCACATGAGTCTGATCAAATCTCCTATTTAACACCCCACCACCTCGTCCTCGCGCCGCTTTCCCTCTCCTCATTATTCATTTTACGCAAGCCAACTACCGCCGTATGCCTCAAATTCTCGTATGGTATATGGCGGTTCCGCCGTCCCTCCAGGGCCAGCGGTGCTTTGCCAGACGGTGCTCCAGCCAGTTTGAGGGGTTCATGATTTGGGTCACGCGTTAGTCGTGCCCTTCCCGTGAATGGGCTTCCATAGAGGTCTGGGACATTAATCACTTTAGCTTAGCCATTTCTTTCATGTCATAAAATTCTAAGCCTTCAGTCCTCGAATCATAATCGGACCAGATATCATAAAACAAAAGCTTTTGTCTCACTCGGATAAGGGTAGCGCAACGCCACCATGGCAATGGTATCTCTCAAATGGATCTAATAATACAAGAACTGAATGTTGAATGAAACTCCAAAAGTGCCCCCGAACCATGTTGGCTGCATCCATCCCAAATTGAAAATCAGAACCGTCCATTGAAAATCGAACTCCGCATGTATGCGATGGTAATGTAAATATTATGATTATGCCATAAGCGGCCATGATGTTGAATCGTTCCTCATAAAGCATTAGGCAACAAAGGAAGTGTCCCCACAGTCGGAGTCCGGTTGCCGTTCAAACCCAAACTTTCAGATCCAGGCAGACACGTGCGCGTCTATCGCTGCTGCTGCTGCTGCTGCTGCTCGGACGGCTGGGCTGCCTGGTTTATGGGCATCTTGGTGAACACGCTTCTGGACCAGCCATCGGCGTCAATCACCGACTCCTTGACTAGGATATAACCTCCAAAGCGGGGCATCAGAATCGCCCACACCACGTAGTAGATGGCTCCAAGCGCGAAGATACCCAGCGCCACCACGCAGTGCAGGTAGTACGGTAGGCTCTTGTACACACTCTGGCCCGCGCTGGGAGGAATATACGGGGCAACCACCAAGAAGACGTTCGACAGAAAGAAGAAGACAGTGACCGGCAGCGTGGCGCGGATACCAGGGGCCCAGTCAGGGAACTTCTTCGACTTGGTCAGATAGATGTAAATCAGACCAGCAGACACGAACACGTTGACAAGCGACAAGGGATACGTGATCAGGCTGAAGAAGGGCCAGGTTAGTATCGAAGCTCAAATCCAGAACAGTTTTGCAGAGACTCACTTGACCAAGAAGTTATAAGCGTCCCCGGGAGGAGGCGCCAACATGATGATGATGGAGACAACCCAGTGCTCGAAGAGACCAGTAGCCGGCGAGTTGAACGGCCGGTTGCTGGCCCAGAACTTCGACAAGGGCAGAACTCCCTCACGACCCAGAGCCTGAACAACTGTAAACAGTCTTAGGATCATTTCTTCACCAATCTAATTGCGGATAACTTACTTCGTCCCTGAGAGAAAATCACCGACAAGACATTTCCAAAAGCTGACAAGGCCACAAAGACGGACATGACCTTCTCGGCCCGTGCACCGAACATGTTCCCGAAGAAAGCGGCGGCAACAGTCTGACCCGAAGATAAGAACTGTTCCCTAGGCACCGCAGCGAAGTATGCGATATTGCACAGCATGTACAGGATTCCGACGGAGCAGATAGCAATCGGGGCTGCGATCTTCAGAGTACGTGTGGGGTTCTTAGTCTCGCTCAAGGCCTGGGAAGGTTAGCACCCAGTCCACAGAGAGGAACATCCTGATAACTCACATAGTTGGCGTTGGAATAACCGATAAAGGACCAGATAACATTGTATAAGGCCATGACGATGCCGTACCCGGTGTCAGTGGTACCCTCAAAAGCGTTCGTGAAGTTGTGGGGAGGGTTGTCGATCTTGACGTGGCCAGCAAGAGCCACCCAGCCGGTAACGACAACAAAGACGATGATGACCAGCTTGACGACACCCAGCGCGTTCTGAAGCATGAGGCCCCATTTGACTGCAAAGGAGTGTATCAAGAACGCGACCGTGATGCACGCCAAGCCAATTCCACGCTGATTCCATCGTCCGACCTCAACGTCGGCAGCATTGAGGATGTACTCGCCAAAGACGATACTGTTACTCGCAGCCCAACCCAACAGGACGGCGTAAGCCGCGTACATTGCCGTGACTAAAAACTTCGGCTTGGTGAAGACATATTCGAGATAGTTTTTCTCTCCACCGTTCCTTCGCCCTGTCAGCATGCCAAGGCAACCTTGCTTTTGGGGAAGGCAACTCACTTGGGAATAGCGGTACCCCATTCGAGATAGACGGCCGTACCGGCCATGGCAATCAAAGTGCCGACGACCCACATGATGAGGGACAGACCGACACTGCCGGCCAAAGAGAGAATGGTGCTGGGGGTGGCAAAGATACCAGTGCCGATGACGCGGTTGAAAATCAGGAAAGAGGCACTGACCACACCGATCTGACGGCGGTCATCAGGAGTGGCCTCGAAGACATTTCCCTCGTCTGTGAGCCATCAGTTAGAACCAGCACATGCCTTGGGATAGCTGCCTGAGCAGGGGACCATCATACACAGTCCGGAGACACCATCAGTTCTGCGAAGACCATCTTCGACGGGCTTGCCGCCGGCAAGAGGCACCTTGTAGCCAGACTCAGGCTCGATTTCACCCATTGCGACGGTGATCTGGAATCAAGAAAAAAAAAAACTAGTGTCTAGCTGTACTGATGAGGCCCCGAAGTGGGTGCAGGCTATATAGCGTGGGGAGGCAAGTGACAGCAGCCGGAGAGAAGGCGGTTACCGACGGAGGCACGAGACCGTAAGATGGGATGGTGTGCTGCGACTAAATTTGATGCAATCGAAGGCGACCAAACCAGCAGCAACTCCGAACGGTCAGGCGTCGACAGGATTGTCTGAGCAGATTGAGACAAGACACCAGTGGCCAACGGAATGGAAAGAAGAAAAAGTTTAGATGCAAGCGCGACTGGAATCTATATCCTTGGTCCAGACACAGCACCAAGCTAGTATACCAGTCGCAGCGAACGAATCGAGTGGGAGGCGGAAGTATAGAGTGACTAAGATAAGTCAAGAATCCGACATCAAACAAGACGAGAAGGTATGGCAACAGTGACAGCAGTGACAGCAGTGACAACGACAAGAAGAAGAGTGCCGATTGAAGAGAGGAGGGAAAAAGACGTCAAGATGTGGGAAAGAATAATTTTCATGCAGGGCGGACGAAGCCATGTGGTTGGCGGACCTCCGCCGTTCGTCCAGCGGGCCTTAGCCTAGTACGAGAAGTAGTTGGATGGATCATGATGGATCATGTCTTGGTGTCTTGCCTTGAGGCAAAACTGGCAGGGCCGCCAGGGCAAAGAAAAGTTTGCTGACGGGCGGAACCCGCGGTGGGTGAAAAACGCTCCACCCCTGGGCCTACTCTAGTCTCTAGGCCTCTTGGAGCCCATCTTATGACACACCTAAATTGAGCACGCCATTGTCCCCCTGCGATGATGAGTTAAAGTTAGGTAAGGTTTTGCACCATTTTGAGACAATCGAGGTTCCAGGCGGGACTCACCGTGAGCCAAGACAACCACTATCCTTCTTATCAGTATCGATTATGATCCGGAAGAACAAATCAAGAATGTAGAGGGGGAAAAAATCCAAAGGAAAAGAGGAAATAGAGATAGAGATAAAGTTCCTCTGATTATATGTATGTACAGTACAGCTTCGTCTGACTGGCAGTCCGTATCTGCTTCTAGAAGATAGATTCATCCTCCAATTCCACCCAGACTCCGAGATCCCAAAATAACATCGTCATATCATATCCAAATGAGGTGGTGGCATGTGTGTGTGTGTGTGTGTGTGTGTGTGTGTGTGTGTGTGTGTGTGGCAATTTGTGTGTGTGTACCTCTCCCAGTCGGAACGCCTAACAAAAACTGTGCAAAACTCCGAGGAAAAGCAAATCAAAGCGCAGAACTCCGTATGGTCGCAGTAACGCGTATATCAAGAACCCAACCCGATATGAAGAAGCAGATGAGGTAAAAGAAGAAGTGTTCAAGGAAACAATACCGGAAAATGTAAACCATTACTCACGAACTGTGATGAAGGAAGGTGAAAAATGCATCAGTTCCAGGTGAATTCACCTATGGAGGAAAGCCGGCGACTCGAGCATGCGCAAGACACCCGGGGAAATTCAAGAGCATGTTCCAGCATGCTCGAAGAAGGAAAAGACCAATGTTCGGGAGTCTATTTAGGCGGCGTGGCTCCAATGGCATGTGCAACAGGCGGTGGGAACGTGGTGGGAGCCAACTTGCTCGGGCCGCTCGAAGGAGGAGTGATTGTGTGCCGTTTGGAGATCATGGCCAATTTCTTGCGGAGGGATGCCAATCGGCCCCGGATGCTGGACACCACTGTGGCACGTTAGTGGAATTCTGGAAAACTTCTAGAATCTCCAAGGAAGAATTAAGGGGACCTACATTTGATAACCACTTGTCGATCCTCCGCTTGGACTCCATCTAGCATGATTCGTTCGCTGTTCCTCCGACTTTCGGCTTTGCTGCCGCTACTGTGACCGGCCCGAGACCCTTCATCCTCGTCCAGAACCGCCTCCAACATCCGGATTGCCGTAACATAAGCAATCTCACACCCGGCGAGGTCCTCTCCCGTGAGTTCATTGATTGCTGCCGCGCGACTCATTTCTAGGGCGCGGTCATACATCAGTTTCTCAGCCGTCACCCCCGAGCTGACAACAACATCTCCAGATGTATTCGAACCCAGAGAGGACCTGACCGAATAGTTGCTGGGGTGACTCGGATGGTCAAGCGGCAATTGTTTCTGTCCCTCGATCAACTTGAGGCGAACAAATTCGGCTTTCTCTAGCACCTCGTTGAACCGATTGCGCACCCACTGCACGATGTTGTTGATCCGGTTGCTGACGAGTGCGCCGGTGGCATCTCCCTTGGTGCCCGCCGACTCGCCGAACGCTTCGGCCCGAGTCTTGCGACTCCACCAAGCGCTTGCAATATCCATAGATTTTGCCAGCAAGGAGAGCGCTTTGACGTAGAGAACCAACGCTTCTTCTGACAGTGTCACAATCGCGTCGGCCGTTAGTCCGCTGTCAGTGGGATCTGATGTCTCTGGCTGGCCAGGTAGATTCGTGGTTCCAGGATTGTCAGTCTGAACAGAAGGAGCCAGGGGAATGAGTTGCTTGTATTTTACTTCGGCAAATCCATAGACAACATCACTGCGAGTGGCACACTCCTCGAGCTCTTGAACAATCTTGCTATCTTCATCCAACGCCACATTCGTCTTGGTACTGTCTCCGAGGACGATCAAGCTGGTTTGGGGGTTGGGGTAAGCTGGAAAAGGGTTATAAGCCAACGGCGGGGAGCGCCCGCCCTTTGTTATTGTCAAGGGTGGTGAAAATCCCATCCCAAACAGGCGGCCGCTGGCCATATTGAGGGCTTTGGATATGGCCGACGTGGCGGATGTCGGGCTCTGTCCATATCGCCGCTCATAAGAGTTCTGGCGAATGTGCGCTGAATCAGCACGAGGCCGCCCGGAGATCATTTGCATGGCTTTGCTGGGAGACGCGTGGGGTGACATATTTGCAGTTGTCGGTACGCCCTGCATTGTTGCTGGGCGTCGTGAGAGCACGCCTCCCTGGCCAGGCCGAGAGAAGCCCCCTTGAATTCGCGGACTATGTGCCATTTCATCGGCAAAAGCATTAACCTCCACTGCCCGCTTCTCCACGACCACGTAATCTCGCTCAAATGCTACTTCTTGTGCTGCGCGCTCGCGCTCGCGCTCTTCTTTTGCCTTTTCCGCAGACCTGTCCACCTGCGGAACTCCAGACGGAGCAGTGCGGCTCCGCTGACGCTCGACCGGCGTAGTTGCTGCGCCACCTTCGTTCGGCTCCTGGCGGAGAGGAGCCTGAGGATCTACTTCTGGCACCGGATTACCCGTCGTTGCTGCAGAACCCTTGGCGATAGACAAAGGTCTATCTGCACTGCCAGTCCTACGCATAGGCGTGCTCGGCGTACCGGGACGCGAAGTCGGTGCAATCGAGCGTCGGGCAACCGGATACGTGGAAGGTTCCACACGGTCGTCAGGATACGGCACCTCTTTCTGACAGGGCGGTGCTGTTACAGGAACAATCTCAGGCCGGGGTTCTGGTACAGGCGCTGGTTCGGCAGCAGTTGTGCCAACGGTCGAACGTCGATATGGCGAGGACGCATCATCGGCTATCAAACCAGGAATTGGACCTGTGATGATCCCGTTCTCAAAGAAATCGGCAAAATTCAGTCTCTCTACCGGATTGCGTTTCAACAACGCTCTGATCAGTGCCTTGATCTCATCAGAAGCAGGGTTCTCCTCGGGAAACTTGATCCTGTCATCACCCTTCTCTATCTTCCGAAGCAGCTCGACATGATTCGAAGCCCGGAAGGGTGCTTTCCCAACGACCATTTCGTACAATACCGTGCCCACCGACCAGAGATCAGCCTTGGCGTCATATTTCTCATACCGGAGAATCTCAGGAGCCATGTAAAGAGGTGAGCCACACAAGGTTTCCGCAAGCGACGTCGCTGGAAGGGACCGCGCGAAACCGAAATCAGCGATCTTGAGCATGGGCAGCGATTCGAGCCCCGTCGTAGGGTTGAACGAATCTTCGCTGCCCTTGAATGGTACAACCTGGGTGGCACCCGAGCGGTACGATGACGGTGATGGACAAAGGAGCAGGTTTTGTGGTTTGATGTCACGATGGATGAGATTTCGATCCCGGAGGAATTTCAGAGCGCTCGACAACTGCTTGAGGAAATGACGAGTGACGACCTCGTTCAAAGCGCCACCTCGAGGATTTGGATACTTTGAGATCATTTCTCGCGTATACCGGTGATCGCCTAAGGTATCTCGTCGCTTGATAAACAAAGATAGATCACCTAGAGCACAGTACTCCATCACCAGATGGATGTGAGACGTCGTCTCATGACAGTCGATCAGGGCCACAATATGAGGATGGTATAAGCCCTTGAGAATATGGATCTCTGACGACAGATTCTCCCTCAGCTTCTTGTTCAGCTTGGACAGGTTGACGGACTTTATCGCCACGAAGGTGCGGGTTTTCTACCAGAAGACACTTGATTAGCAAGAGCCTCCAAAGCTTCAGCTTGAACGCCGATGAACGATCCAACCTCTTCCGCCAAGGGCGGTTTCGGGTAGCGACATAGTAAACATACCGTATGAACACCTTGGTAGACAGTGGCAAAGCTGCCTCGGCCGATCTCGTCCAGCCGCGTGTAGCGGCCGATGGGCATCTCAGCGTGTGAGGAATCTCTCGTCCTCCTCGAATGACCCGTTGATGCCATGATCGCGACAGGGCGCAGATAATGTGTGTACAAAATCCCAGCGACGCCCCGTTAACCAACAACAACTACCTCAACAGGAAGAATGACGACGGTGAATGATGGATGGGGCCCATCAGAGTGGCAAGCGGTCGAGGAATGTTGGCGATAAGAGAATAGTTAGACAGAGAAAAGACGGGGAGAGCAATAGATATGGCTGAAGGATAAGGTGGACCGCGGAGGCAGTGGTGGAAGTAGTGAAGAAGCGCTGGGCAAGGGCGGCAGGCGAGCGCAGGCGACGAGACAAGGAATAGGCAGGCGTCGTTCTACCTTTAGATAGGATCTGGGTGTAGGGGGGACCGACTTAGTGGTAGTAGATAGGTCGAGAGTAGACGTCGGCGCTGTAGGAGGCAGGAGAGCGGTGAGGCGGACAGACGGGGGTGTGTATGATAGGATGGAGGCGACAGCTACAGGGGGGTGGAGGTGTGGCCTAAGCTGTTGGTGCAGTGCTGATAGACGTATACTAATTTCGGCAGACGAAGTATGTCGTGTAGATCGAGGCGTGGAAGTAACCGAAGGACTGATAGCAAACAAGACCGTGGCTTGCGGGATGGAAAAAGAAGAAAGAACGAGAAGAAAGAGTACTAGGTAGGTTTGTAGATAAGTTTCAAAGTCACTCACAACGACAAGGGATGGAGGAGCGATGACTGAAGAATGGGAAGAAGAAGGGGGGGGGTAGTAGTAAAGAGAGAATGATGTGATTGACGGGGGAAGGTGGAAAGGCGGGAACAGCAGCTGGACCCGTGGGACATGCAAGAATTGTTGTATTGAGTAGGTAGGAATAGAGACAGTCACTCAGCTCAGAGCCTGAAGGGAGGGAGAGAGAGGGACTGGACTGGACTGGACTGGACTGAGGAGCGTGACCGCCGATAAGATCATGAATGACCTTCGGAGAAGAACAAAGGCGGTCAGGAGGGCGGCATGTCCTCGAATAGATGTCCCGGCCAATGGCCACCCAGTGTCAATCTCCACATTACCTACTAGGCGTAGTACTTCCCAGTCGTCATCACCCTTACTAGGTACCTTACCTACTCGTCCTGGATAAGTTAGTGATTCATCTCGGGAGACATACAATACATAACTGACGATGTACTACAGACTGAGAAATCATCGAGATACCAAGGTTGACTGCATCATGCTTCTATGAAGGGGGAGGTGTACAGTACAGTACTACCCTACATACAGTTCATTGAAACTTAGGTTCCTGCTATCTCCCACTGCAGCCCTGACAGCCCTGAGAAAGGCAAGACGGAGAGATAAGACGCGGCCGGAACAGGATGAATCCGGGGGCAGGCGATAACGAGTGGATTGCCTGGGGAAAGTATCCGTCCTCGAGACATGGATTGATTGATGCAATCATCACTTTTCTCTCCATCGGGGGGAGCCACATACTCCATACTGAAGTAGATACTGTACCTACTGTACAGTGCAAATGCAGATGTCCATCCATACCAGTGAAATAGGCGACATGAGCACTTTCGTCAGTTAATGATCAACTTATGATGTGATGGTCTATGTCCCCATAACTACAATTACTCCCTCCGACTCAGCCACTTGCTGTATCATCAGCCATCAACATCATCAGCACCCAGACCAAATGATCAGCCGAAACCCAGTTAAGTCGAGTCATCTTTACCATAACTTACCTGGTACACCTGGTAACTAATTTGACGGGTTCTCATCCGGTGACTCAACCACTTTTCCCGTCACTTTTTCTCTCTCCCTAAACAAAAAATCAAGTTACTTGTTAAGTTGGTACTTGTTACTCAAGGTACTTTTCTGGGTCAGTGTCAGTGACACCCGATGTTTCCCTCAACCTAAAATCAAGCAAATCACCTCGCCTAATAAGACGAATGAATGGCGCATCAAATGACTCAATCCTCTTGTCTATCTATTTTCCCCCTCCTCCACCTCCTCCTCCTCTTCTCCCCGCCTCCTCTACCTCTCCGGACGCGGCTGCTTACCAACAAAGACCCCCGGAGAGCCCAGTTGCAGTGCCCATCCGACCTTGCCACCTGCCGCGAGAGAGCCCCCCCCCTCTCTCCTCCCTTCAAGGAACCCGGGATCGTAGGCGGGTTGATAAGCTACTCTATTATTATTGATGGGGCAAAAGGGCAAAAAGCCTTGTCCACCCAAAACTCTACCCGCTGCGTGATCTTGCTGGCTGATCCCCCGCTAAACCTGTCTGGTCCTAGTAGGGACAGTAGTAGGGACGCTCAGTCGGTGGCGATCGACACAGCTCAATCCCGCCCGGCGCACAGCACGTCCCTGAGCTTGCCGGACGAGTCTTCCTAGCTTACTCAAGCTAGAGTGACCACTGACTAGTAGGCTAGCTAGGCTAATCAAAGTGGACAACAACAAAGTACGATTCAGGTACGAATCCGTTTCTCTCAGACCATCATGCATGCAGCGAATGGGTCTTCCTAGGGTGCTGCCTGATTGTGGGGAGGGTTTGCCTTCGGCACTCACTCGAGGCTACCTATCTACCTATCTCCTATAGGTATTCACAAGCAGAGCACGCCATGACCAGCAAGGACAGTCTTCCACGTCATCACCATCAGGCTGATAATTCTATCCATTCGCGCGCGATGATTAATTGAATAAGGGATGACACACAAGGTAATCGTAGAAAATAGAAATTAAAAAGAGAAAATTGAAAGCAGGGGGGCAAACCACAACGAATCCACCCAAACTTGCAGCGCTTCGTCTTATGGGGTATATAGCAAAGCAGACATCACCAGAAGCGCTCCACCAAAGCATGCTGTAATCGTTACTAGATCCGAAAGTCAACCGCATTAAATACCAAGCCCTCTCACTAACAGCCACAGCACAACCGGTACAACGACATTGTCATTGCACCCGGTCAGAATAGCTTCGGTTGCGCTTGTCCCGCCGGCTGCGAGAATGGCTTTGGACACCATCAGGAGCCAGGGGTATATGAGATTCGTCCCGTCACTTCCGCCCGTGGACCATTGGCCCAGGGTAAGCCAGGTTCGTGCAACAATCAGCCCGCTGGTTACAGCGACTGCAAATGCCACGCTGCCCTCCAACGATTTCCCCCCGCCCCAGAACCATTTCCGCCGGCCGAACCGGCGACCGATGAGGGAAGCCGCCGCGTCGCCCATCCCGACACAGATAATGCCGCTCACCATGCTGACATCGCGACTCATTACGTCCCAACCCACCCATGGATACTCTCCTGTCCGAGGAACATCGGCCAGGGAAAGCCATAAGGGGATCGAGCATCCAATGAGAAGAAAAATATGGGAGACAATGACGGGACCGCGATGATCGCGACCGTCCACGTAGGGCGCCAGGAAATACGTCAGCGGCCGGGAGATCGGTGGCAGCTGAGAGGCTCGGAACAAGTCGAGGAGCAGGAAGATAGCCAAGGCGAGGCTCAACGCGAGAGCACAGAACAGGGGGTCAATGTAAATGGTCGGAAGGAACATCGAGACCATCATCCCGTGAAAAACCTTGCGTCGGGTGTCGACCTCTGCGATTGGACTGAGTTGTAGCACAACAGCCAGGCCGGTCACAAGTACCAGGATGCAATAGGCAGCAATCAGGAGGCGCGAAGTAGCCTCCCCAAACGTATCTTGCCGCAGATGCTCAACCCAGCCAAACGGGCATGATGCATTGGAGGGGTCGCTGTCCAGACGAGCTGGAAGAGGTATCCAATACTCCAAGCCCCACATAAGCACCCAGAACCTAAACCCAGATATATTACCGAAAAGGTACCCCAATGCCCACCCAAAGGGCTCCCCATTCTGCAATGCTCGATCACTGACATAGTACCGAATGGGCACCATGACAATAATTAGAACGGCGATGTAAACATACAGGGCATAGAGCCATTTCCGGACTTGTGCTTGAGGTACAGTAAGCGATAGGAAGGAGACTAGTCCGGGGGCCATTGATCGCTTTTTGCGACCTCCCGGTGTCGTCCTAACTTTCTCCGCTCGTTTGACATCGTCGAAGCTCGAAAAAGTGTGTCGTCGGCGATGCGCGGTACGGGATCGCCGGCGAGTACCCTCCATGCCCGTATTGTTGTGCTTGCCGATGCTTAGCCCGTGGGACAGCGTCTTGTCTCGCGAGTCGAACATCGTTTTGCGGGAGACCAGCACATAACCCCCATCGGCCGAATCACTATCAGAAAGATTATCTTCCGAGGAGCCTGTTCTGCTGAGCTTTTGGCAGAGTTTGTGATCGATCGCGTTGAAGATGCTGCGAGGCGACTGCGAAGCACTAGGGGATCGCCGGAACTTCCAGGTCGGGATTCGAGCCAAGGCAACCTCCCATCGTAGCACACCCCGGCAAGCGATGAAGGTGCACATGCCTCCCAGCCATAGCAACGCCTTGAGGATTTCGGCCTGGGGGGATGTTGCAAATAAGTACAGATTGATTAAAGCGGTGGTTAGAAGCTGCAGCTCTGCGGGAAGGATGCTGGTAGTCAACAAGAAATCTAGAGTGGGTATCAACGCTTGATGGAAAGGAAAAATAAGAGTCAAGACTTCCGCGTCCAGGCCACGAAGAGTTAGTGGTTTCGGCCATGAAGGACCTGCCGACAGATGCTCCGAAACGACAATCGGGATCAATGTGACCAGCCAATGGACAACACTATAACCGTAGATCCATTCGCGCAGCGGAACGACTTTGACAGGGAGAGATGAAAGACTGAGAAGAATATTAGGCAGTATCAATGAAGGGCTGTGATGCGCCAGAGACAGCGAAACGTAGATGGGTATCAATACGGGGTAAAGCAACGGAGCGGGATCGAAGGCGGAAGGGACGACAAAGGTGGACAGGCGAGAAAGTCGCGGGCGGCCGTCGCGATGCAGAGGATATGCGGTGTAGAGACCGATCACGATGACCAAAAAGGTGGCAAGCTCTGCAAGTGGTTACCGGGTTAGTCAAGAGGTGAGTCCAGGCCTCTCTCACACACAGGAAAGATGTCCGCGCACCTTTTTTCCAGGCCCAAGCAGCCACTCTCACGCTCTCCTGTCCCAGGACAACAACCCCCACTGAGAGCAGTAGTGCGGTTTCCAGTAGCCTTTGTAGGATGGCAACCCGTTTTCTGCGGTATTCCTGTTCACGTAGCTCGGCTGGCCCGACTTCCGCATCCTCTCCAGAACTCCGCCGCGAACTCCGCGAGGTGGACCGTGTTATCGACGGCCACGGGCGCAAGATGGGGAGCCACTGATCGATCTCGCCTGCGCCATGGATGCTCGAACGCAATCCTTTTCGCGGTCGCAGCGGAGGGGCCGGCAACCCTCTTAAAAGACCTGTACTCTCATCGTCGGCTTCTGTGCCGCTGTCACTCGAGGTCCGGGGCCAGCGGGAGGGCTTCGCTCGGTCGCCGGGGTCCACAGGCAGCGACGAACCCGGGCGAGTGTAAGGATGGGGCGATCGGGAGAAGTGTCGGAGATTATCGTGAGCTTCGGGGTCCGATGCAGGATCTCTGTTGGGAAGTAGCCCATCTTCCTCCTGGCTCTGTGTAGAGGTCATAGGTGTTTGCTGGGTCAGACCGTCCGGTTCTGTTCTTAGAGCGCGTACGTCATGTCGATAAACATAGGACAGGGTTCAAGAAAGGAGGGACTATAGAGTATGATCGAAATTAGTCATTGCAACATGTGTGGTATAGCACGCTCCAAGAGTAGTAGTCATACCGAAAGAATTGACCCTGGATCTATGGTGCGTGTGGTGGTGGTGGTGGTGGGGGAAGTGTTGGGGCGCAGAAGGAGGGAAGGATGACAGGTTGAGTGGAAGTTGTTATCGAGAGCTGATCAGATCGGAGGAACCAACAACAGGCGGGAGCGGGTTTTTTTCGCTTATCACATGCCGACTCAGCACGTCAGGCGTGCATCAGGAGATGGTAATAAAGGATTGAACCCCTTTCTTCCCAGGGTTTTTTACCTAGTATCTTCTTTCACCTTCCTCCGGTCATACTGTAAGGCTTTGGAATCTAATCGGGTACGGCAGTCAGCCCATCAGACTGTTCCGAATGATCTCATCGACTCTATCGCTATCGGCTTACAGCAGAAGTGAAGTGAGGTGAGGCCACAGTTGTCTTCACCTGGGAGCCAACTTTCTGGCATCAACACTCATGGTGCTATATATACAATGTTTTTATTCTAAAATGACGTGAATGGTATCATACTGCTATGCGCATGCAACTGTGAAGCCACACAGATCCTTTCGATCCGAGTCTTGGCTCTTATGCAGAGGGCTTCTGCCTTTGGACGAAGACCCCCGCGGCCAGCTGCCGACCCTTCGATCCCCAAGCCGATTTGCAGGGAACGATTTGTCCCCAGGATGGATCATTGGACAATGGCTGGGTCGAGTATATGACTACATGGGGGCTCTTCGACCCTTGCGTGGAGTTCTGCAGGATCGACCGGAGGCAAGACTCAAAGTCAGGCCCAGACCATTTCGCATCCACCTCGATGCCGATGTAGCCCAAATCCTGGCCAGTGGTCACCACGGTCTGACGTCCATACTCCAGCTCTTCAGTGGTTATTTTGAGTTTATCGCATCGGAAACCGAGTCCCTGCCACTCAATATCACTTCCTCGAGGCAGTTCTTCTATCTGCACGGCGAAGAAAGCAGGGATCATAGATCCTTCCGACTGCACCACATCGAACCGCGGTAGTCCGGGTTTCGAGACACCCTTGACCTGCTCGTGGGCTCGTCCACCATACTTGAGATCCCACGCATCCAGACCCGACTCGTCGTCGGCATCCTCTTCCTCTTCTTGATTGTGGTGCATTGTTTCCCACAAATTCCAAGCTATCTTAGCTCTCTCTCTGATATGATCGGCTCCCGTCAGGAAAGCGACAGCTCCCAACCACCAGTCGACGTTGGTAGCCACACCGATCCTCCATAGATGTTGAAGAGACAGGACCGCTCGCGAAGAAAAGCCCTTGAACCACGTCTCCTCGAGGCCATATATTTCCATCGAGGCCGGCTCGAGAGGAATCTGGCCAGCGATGTACACTAATTGCTCGGGGCCCTGCAGAGGTACCGACATGGCCTGCGAGTATGGCCCAATATTTGCGGGAGCCCAGTAAGAACGCGACTGAACATGAAGGCCTTGCCGCTGCTCCCTCGAACCCAAGTCCACCACCGCCGACACCATGATACTCACGCCTTCTGGGAGGCTAGCACCACAGGCGACCGTAGCTCTCGCCGGGGGGTTTGGCTTCTTGAACATCGAGACGTAGATGGAGTTCATCAGGGGGAAATCTGACATGGAGCGAAGCAACACCGTAGTGAAGACAATATCAGCCGTCGTCCGAGGAAGCTCACGGCTCGAGGAGGAGCGCAGAATCGTCTGAATCTTCTCAGCAATAGCCTTCATCTGTTCACCAGCGCCGGGACCAGCCTCAGGCGCCGTGACATTAGCAATCACCCACGTCCTCCCATCCGTAGTCTGAACCGGATCAAGCCCATCACTCCAGCCCCTCGAGCCCACATCAAGCAAGCTCCTCTCCTCCTCGTCGTCCCCCGTAGCAGCCAACGCACCTTCAGCCCCCAAGACAGACTCCAAAACCTCCTCAAACCCCTCATCCAACAAATCCGGCCGCCTCACACTCTCCGGACCGCCCCGATCACCCTCACCGTCGCCCTCCCCATCCTTACCCACACACCTCGCTCCCTTCAACCTCACAAACCCCACGCCACCATCCCCAACACAAGCCTCCCACCCAGCAACCTCGATCCGACACCTCCACAACCACGCCGGCCCATCCAGCGCCAGACTCTCATACTCGCCGCCCTCCCCCAACACGGCGCCGCGAATATCCTCCGCGTCCGCAAACCTTCTCATCCCCTTGACAATCCGCCCCCGCACCCGCCCATCCGCCGCCGCCACATCCCCCCACAGGAACCCATCATCCAGCCCGCCCGACGCAACCTTGATGATCCGCGCCTCGCACCCAGCCGCCGCCATATCCTCCAGCAGGCCGGCCTCCGTCGCCCGCCGATCCGGCAGCACGGGGTACTGCCACAGCCAGGCCAGGGGCACCAGCCCCAGCCGGGCGGCCACGTTCTCGATGCGGGTGCGCTGATACGTCGAGAGGATGGCGCCGGCGGAGACGGCGTTGGCCTCCGGGTGGGCCTGCATGATGCGTTTCAGCAGCGGGATCAGGGATTCGGTTTCGTCGGCCTCCTCCTGATCTTCTTGTTCCTCGGCGAGGTTTGTGTTGTTGTTGCTGTCCTGACGGCCGGGAGAGTCCGCCATTTGGTCCTCGGCTTGCAAGCGGTAGATCCGGGAGGTGTCGACGGCGCCGCCGCGGATGGGTTGGCGGTAGAGCGGGATGCCGAGGGCGGTCTCGTAGAGGGGGATGATGCTGTGGCCGATAGTTTGGTACATGAAGCTGTCCAGGTCTTGTTCCTCTTCTTCCGGGACATGTTGTAGCGGATTAGATAATGATACTGGTGATGCGTCGGTGCTGGTGGTGCTTGTTGGCTGCGCATTGGCGGCGGGGTGGAGGTTCGCTAATGCGACCACTCTGTGGCCGTTGCGGATGCAGTGGAGGAGCGAGTAGAGAGAGTCTTTCCCGCCGGAGATGAGGGCAATCACATTAAGACCTGCGCCTGGAGCCGGCGGTGATGGTGGTGATGGTGGTTGGAGGTGCGATTGAGGTGGCATAGTGACTGGTGTAGTATGCGTGTTCGACAAGGAAGAGTGTGTTGGATGGATGGAGGCTGCTGCTGTTAATGAGGGGTCGAAGCTCTTTTTCTCCGTGGTGGGATTCGGGCACTCCGCAGACAGTATTCGCTAATCGAGGGATGAAGGTAGGCACGCAGCAGAGCGACTGGGTCGAACATCAGAGAAAGACTATTGGTCAGTCCTAATGCTCGCTTGACCTTAAACTACTACAGGGTAACTCAAGATCCGACAATCACTGTCCAAGCAGAAAATTGTTGGAGGATAAAGTGAAGTGGGTGGTGACTTTTAAGATCTGCCGAGGCGGAGTGCTGCTAAGACAAGCTAAATGCGGGTTTTTCCAAGACCATCGAACTAGATACTCAGTATACCCACAAACTTCAGTCTGTCTACAAGAAAGCAAATGACTACTGTATGGGAACTTGATGATTCACAATTCTCAATTATCACAAGCTATGCTGCAGAACGAATGGCACGCTCAACACACAAATGGCAGATATGGGGTTATTATGCACAATGTAGATGCAACAAGTGACAGAGAAGGAAAGAAACGGGGGTATGCGCACAGGGGTATGAGGCAACGATTGGGGATCAATATTAAAGTATACATGTGGCCAGCACAGTACTGCACAGGAGCAGAACAAAACAGGGTAGGTGGAAACAGTGGACACAGAAGGGTAAATAAACGAGAAGTATGTAGAAGAAAAGAGATGAAAAAGGAGAATGTTTGGGAGAGGGGAATAGGGTACACGAAAATAAACGACTGGACCAAGTCTGGTGGTCCGAGCCGGCCATTCGCAATCGAGTTGAGGATGTTTGTGTTTGTCAGAGAGAGTAGAAGTAAGAGGGGAATGAGAAAGGAAATCAACCCAAAATCACCAGTGCCTCAGTGTAGAGTCATCATGCACGCGCTCTATAATATTGGTCCAACCGTGGACTCCCAAATGTTGTGCGCCTAAGTTCCTTTGCCGCCGGTCTAATGCTTCGCCAAAATTGGTGCCTCGAAGTCGCATTTCGGGAGAATCGACTCCAAGGACCGCTCAAAAATAAAAATAATCCATGCACCTGTACCTTCCTGGTCGCCGCCAGAATCAAGACCCGGACGCCAAACCGTAAGAGACCCAGTTGGACCAACCATGGAAATGGTTGGTCATTTATAGTATATGATTAAGTGATATAGGGGAGCTCCTGGTCACATATCATCATGATGGCTTCGAAACCAAGTCGACGACCTAATCAAGCATCCGCGTCACGCTTGCGCTTCTTGGGGGCTCGACGATCAGCAGATGGCGTCTCGATAGTGCTCTCATCGGACGAGTCGCTGGTCGTCGACTTGTTGGCGGCAGCATTGGCAGCTTCATAGAGAACCGCACCCATGGTGTTGGGGCTGTGATCCTCGAAAGGAGACTGCGAGGATGTGCTGCTGGTATCGATAACACCCATCACCAGGGATCCGCCAGCATGCGTGCGAGCATGCTGGGCCAGGTTATCACTGCGGGAGAACTTCTTGCCACACTCATTGCACTCAAAAGGCTTGTCCTGCGTGTGCAGGGAGCGGTAGTGACGCTTCAAGTGTTCCTGACGACGGAAGCGGCGAGAGCAAAGAGTGCACACGAAGGTCTTGGAAGGATCATCTGTCAACGACTGCTTGCGACCACGACGGTTCACGGAGACCGGAGCAGTCGGCGCATCAGAGCAACTAGACATGCTAGCATCCGAGTTGTGGCGGGTCTGGCAAGATCCTTGGGAAGCTGTGCAATCCGACTCACTAGCGGAAACCTGTGCCTTCTTGGGCAGAGGGTCCGCGTCGCTCTCGGAGCCAGCTCTCTTGGGTGACTTGCGGGAGTTACTGCGCTTCTTCGTTCTCATCTCCTCAGCAGCGTCACTGACAGTAGCTTGGACGGAGAAATCGGAGCCACCCAGGAATGGAAGGCTGGTCTGGGACAGATCCTGGTCGTCTGATTCGTCAAAGCTCTGCTCACTGAAGAACTCTTCCTCATCAAGGGAGTAGGAGTCAACACGCTGCCGCTTCTCACCCAGGTAGAAAGCGTTGCCGCTGGGATGGAAGTCAACCAGGCGGTTCACAAATTCGTCTTCAGAGTCCAGATCCGAGAAGCTGTCAAAGGTGGGAAGGCTGCTCAGGGGATCCTCCGAGGAGCAAGAGAACACAGGGGAGAGGTTCTCGTGAACCGGAAGTGTTACAGCCTCACCGCCCAAGACAACCCTCGACTCTTCCTCGTCACATGCAAGAGTGGGCAAAGGCGGCAACTCAGCAACATTGATTGAAGACTCGACAGTGAGTTGACGAGGGTCGCAGAAGTCCGAGTTGGACTGTTCAAGAGGAAGAGCGGACTGGGGCTGGACAATCAGGGTCGAAGCAACAGGGGATGGCGATGGAGACAGGGATGGGCAAGAGCTAGTGGCAGACAGAAGCTCCGAGGTCTGGCAGGCGGTGTATGCAGGGGGGTGGATGAACACTAGAACCAGTTGAGTTAGTTCACCGAATAGCCCTAGACTACTGACCATCCACCAATGCCTTTTCGCACTCTTGCAGCGCGTGGTGTAGGCCGCTAACGGATCTTTCTGAAGAGTCAAGAACTAGTACGTACCAGGTGTCATGGGAGGCGAATCCGAGCGAGTCCAGTCGGCATTGGCCAGGATCTCAGCGTGAACGTCGCTCTCGCAGCCTTCCTTCACGCCCTCAACCTTCTCAAAAGCAAAGAAACTCTCGTTGATTGGCGTGTGGAGGGAACCGATGCTGGAAGGCGGGCTGCTGATAGAGCTACCGGCTGTGGAGAGCGGCGGGGTGGAGGGAAAGGCATAGTAGTCGTTGCCTACGAACCTTGTGTCCAGAGGCATCAGAGCTGGTGAACCTTGCTGCACGACGATGGTGGGCTTGAGGTGGGACGGCTGAGGAGAAGCGATAGGCGTCATGTTCATCGCACCCCGGAAGGCATTCGTCGTAGCCATCTGGTGCATGTTCATGACAGACTGAGCGGTATAGAGAGACTGATCTGGCACACAGTGTTGGTGTTGTTGTTGTTGGGCGTGGGAGAACGGTTGCATTTGACCATAAAAGTGTTGCATATCTGAAGGGTGGCTGGTGAAGTGTTGTCTGGGCTGCGAGTCGGCAGCTGGGTAGTATGCAAAGGACGGTTGCCCTTGCACCGATGTCGGCGCCATTGTGTATGTTGCGTCCATTGTGAGTGTAGCTGGTTACCATCCTTGAGTCAGCCCTTGGCCGTCAGCACACATATATTGGGAGATCAGACTCACAGATTGTGAAGTGTTGTGGTTGCACAAGCGAGTAGAGTCTGATCTACTCTGCTAGATGTAATTAAGATAAGTATATCAATGGGTTAGTATACCCGGACTGTTGGACTGCGCGAAGCTTTCTGTCTTGTAGTCGGGACCACTAGGCGATAAGAAGTCGTCTATATCAAGGACGACAGTGTTGGAAAGAATGTTGATAGTCTCTTGCACTTGAAGGAGTGAGTGAATGAGACAGCGCTGTGATATTGATGCGAAGAACGATAGTTCGTGGTGGTGGTGGTGGTAGTGGTATTATATCTGATGCTTGTATCGCAAGTCTATTTGAAGGAAGGACAGGCACCTCTAATCGATACGATCCAAACCAGAGAATGAAGTCGGTTTAGAACGCGCTCGATAAAGGAAACCGAAAGACTGAAGACGCAAATGAAAGAGAGAGCGAGAGGGAGGGGAATTAAGACAAGAGAGATAAAAAAGAAGGGAAGAAGAGAGGACGACCAGATGAGGATCGAGACGAGTCTAAAAAGGGCAAAAATGAAATAAAATAATAATAAAAGAACAGAATAATAATAAAATAAAGAAAGAAATAAAGAAGATTAATTTGAAGGACGAGGAGGACAGTCGCGGGGAAAATGAGAGACAGGGCCGATATGGAAAGAGGAAAAGACGGCCAGAAGGATGGGCAGTGGATAAAAGAGCGACTGATCTGCTTGTGCTACGAGGTAGTAGCGCCGTACGTAGTGAGCAGTAGGACTGGAGCCGTACTTTTTAGCCTGGCGAGCCTGTTTGGGGTGAGATGGGCTGCATGGAACTTTACTTTAGGGTGGTGGTGCCAGTAGGAAAGTCGGGAGCAATCAGTTCTATAATAGTCGTAATTGTAATATAAGACTAATAAATTATCTAATAAATCTGCCGGACCAGGTACTGTGTCATATGTTATTTTGCTTTGGCTGTCTTCAATCATGTCTTTGACAGTGTATTCAGAAGATTTGAATTTGAATTTCAATTTATTTTCTCTTCTCGTCTCTCTCTCTTTTCCAAATTTTTGTGTGTTAAGTGTCTCTTGCTCTATTTTCTGAACGGTTCCATATTAGACTTTCTGGATGATGATTTGAATAAATTTCGGGGAACAATGGAAAGCGGAGAGAGAGAGGGCCGAGGAGAAGGGAAGAGGGGGGGGGGGGGGAAGGAAGGAGGTGGAATAGGAAATCCTATTTTCTCCAACCGGTGATTGTCATTATTTCTTACCATCTTATGCACCATCAATGCTGAGTAGACTTTCTAGTCTGGGGCGGCAAAGAAAGCAGATTGGCGCCGGCGGTGCACATCTCAGTTCCAATTCAGTTTAGAAATTTGAGAAAGCGGAGACCAAAACCAACGGGAGGTGGAACACCCTGCGGACTACTAGAGTACATGTAGATACTACGGAGTCTGTACTGTACCACTACGCCGTACCTTACTACTATTACTCCTATCATCCTACTACTCTGTACGTACCTCTTCAATGCGGACATCTACGATAGTAAGAGACTGGGACGAGAAGAAGGAGGAGGAGGAGAAGGAGGAGGACTAGGAGGACGGATATTGAGATCAATACAAGACAGGTATCAACAATACATATACTAAAATATTGTGCCATTCATTCCTCATTTTGGGGGGTGGTGGAGACTCTGGATGCTGTTGGATCGGAGCTTAGTTCGAGAGACAGTCAGATGGCGAGGGCGAATCCCAGCGTCGACTCACTAGCAAATCGTCCCCACCACCTCGGCCGGGGAACCCAAAGAGGCGTAAGTGCGTGGAGCACATGAGCACGAGTGGGAACACTGGCGGCCTCAAGCCCCATTTCAATGGTGCATGGAAACTCGGCCCTCCGTCCATTTATTACCACCAGACCACACCCACACCCACCCAGGCACACATGTCTGACGGTCACGGATGGGTAAATGCGTAAATGCGGAGATGCTCATGTTCCAATGGCAAGCAAGCAAAGTACGGGAAAGTTTAGAAGCGAGAAAAGGAACTGCTTGTGACTGTTGGAACCTCATCACAATAGGGTGATAATAACGATTGATATATTATCATCACAAATTATCATCCTCAGTGACACTTAACACTGTTTCAGAGAGAGTTCATTACTGTAGGGCAAATGACAGTTCTGGGATGGATAGTGGTGGTAACTGGTAACTTGGTAACTCTAGTTCACTTCCAGTTGTAGTTAACTTACTGTACACAGCCCTTAGTCACTCACTACGGCCAACTATGGAGATATGTGGCTTTCCCACTTCTTCCTCTCGGTCTCCGTTTGTCTTGTCTGGTGGCCAATTCATTATTCACGTTTTAGATAGACATCCCCATAGCTACATAGTATCTCCATATAAAGTACAGACTACAACTGTCGGGGGCAAAGCGGGTTCCATAGTCTCTTCAATCTCTTTTGGAACTTACCCAAGTAGGAGGGAGGTCTACACATTAAGTGTCAAGAGTCCAGTCCCGTCTTCTAATACTTACCTAGTAGCTTTCCACACAGGAACAGTCCCGGGTGTAATTTATCCTGTAACTTCGCCGGTAAGGTAACAGGTAACAGGCTGAGGCCGAGCTGAAAAGCCTGTCTCGATGGTTGAAAGTCGCCACAGCAGTCCGTCCGAGACTCTCAGGCAGTATTATCGCTCCCAAAATAGCACCTCAAAAGGTTGTCTGTCGAATGGCCCCCCTTATCCTCTACCCTGCCTCTCTCACTGCCACTGCGTCTTTGCCAGTCAAGATGGACTGTCTACTCGAGGTGCTCAGGTGCTCAGCTGAGACCAACATCATCAATCACGCTGCGCGCTTACTGTCGAGACCACTTGTCCGTCAATGACAGCGTTCATCGTGATGCTGAGGGTGATATGTTATACATAGTACATGGATCGGATGTTCCGTTACCAATGAGACCTGCATCAGCAGCATCGGATGGCCTATCTGGGCTTATCAGCGGCCTGTTTGTCCCACTGGCTTGGTGCACGAAAACCAATCGGGCCAGTCGCCCTCGCTGGAGCAAACTGAAAAGTGGTGGAGAGGGTGTGTGCGAGTGAGAGCCTGTTGGGCGGGGAAGGAAAACCAAAAGTGAGATTCCAATAGGCCGGTTCAGTCAGCCAAACCGGCCAGACAGGCAGTCAAAAGGGCTCAAGACAGACAGAGAGAGAGACACACACCCCCGACACGCACACGCACAACACGCACACATAGACATGGTGACTTGAGTTAGCAACCGATGGTAATTGACTGCAAGTCTGCCAGGTGAGAAGGCAAGCGCATCGGAAGCTGCATTCGAAGCCAATAGCCTCAACCTGTGAAGGGAAGGGATTGACTCGCCGGCTAAGCTAGTCGGCCCCACTGCGCATCCCGTCCGCCATTTGGGGCATTTCATTAAAAGTACCCCAAAAAAAGACAAAAGGAAACAGAAAAGAGGAAAGGAAAAAAAAAACAACGAAAAAAATGACGAGGAAACGTTGTCCCATGTTCCCTCACTCTGGGAGGCCTCACGCTTACAGTAAGATCAGCAAAACGACCTTCGAAGTTGGTTGGTTGGGTAGATGATGTGATGGATGTTATGATGAAGAGACCGTGGCTGCTGATTTGGGGGTTGTCTTGGTCAGTGCAGATGTTGTCCGCGGCCCCTCCCCGTTCTCTCCCACACCCCCAAACTCACGCTGGGTCGCTCTGGACTTTCCCTTTGGTCTCAGCCTCTGTGAGGGCGGAGACTGATGATTATGATTGATGGGGTTTTGGAGGAGAAGGATGATGCTGATGGCGGCGGTGGTGGTGGTGTTGGTGGTGATGATGACGACGATCGATGATACGAACTGCCCCGGCGCAACGGCATGGATGCAGGCATGCAATTCCGGACTCAATGAGACCACTCAATTAGTACAGACATCGTATGGTCCCATGTCGATAAGCGGACATGAACGAAAAAAACGTTCGCAATCCTTTGGCCGTCCATTCTAGCGGCATTGAGACTAGCAATTTCGAGAAGCAACACTACTGTACTGTGGCATCATCTAGAGCTCTCGACACCACTGGTGAAACGGTTGCGACTAAGGGCCCACCACCTAACCTATGGCATGGTGCCAAATAAGTGCTACTAAGGTATAGTCTACCCGTCCTTACGGGTGGTACTACGGAGTACTGCCAGTCTACTCCAGTCTCTTAAGTGTTCACTACTAACAACAAGCCACCGACCGTCAAAAAAAAAAGACATCCGAAGTCCCGGGTGCGACACAATCGGAGCCCTGTGACATTCTAGGTAACTCATATCGTAACCTGAGGCAAAAATGTACTTGGTAGGTCGTCTACCGATCTGATACCTATCTGGGCATCTGGAGAAGAGACACGCTGGCATGTTCTTTCCTAGGTGATTCGCATTGATGATAATCATACAAGAGAATCGATGAGCAGACATAGGATGGCTCTAGATCCCGATAGCATGTCATATGCTGGATACACTACGCCGAGAATATGGTGCAGACAGTATTGAACCTAAGAGGTTAGATTATTTCCTGAGGTGGAGGAAAACTACTAGGTAGGTATAGCTCCTGCGTCGTTGGCCGAAGGTTTTCCTGGGGAAAGTGTGAGGTGATGTCAAGTCAAAAGCACGAAAATCCCAGGGTACTGGCACCGTAAGGATAGGCTAACTCCAATTCTGATGTCCTAAAATTGAGAGTTTGGCCACGTAGCACATAGCCGGTTCCCAGGCGCGGTGTGCGCACTCGGATTGTCAAAGAGGTCAATCACTCACCCACTCAGTCACTTACCTTTCAAGAGAGGGGGGAGAGAGAGAGAGAGAGAGAAAGAGAAAGAAAGACAGAATGGGCCTTCTTGGATTAGCTCATATTTTGAGATTCGACTTGTTCAATGGCGGATGGGATCGATCAGGTCTGGGCGGCCTACTGCAGGAACCGATGCGGAGGGGAACTGTAGGCTGCATGGCCGGAGAGGGGGAAAAGCGACACTCTCGCCGGAATTCCTTGTTATGCCAGCCAACCCTTGCTTACATCGTTTATTTGTTGTCCGACAGACGGTTACACAGGGCTTAGGTACATATGAAATGCAGCTGTCAAAATAGAACCCCCGATTCTGATTTGCTTCAGAAGTTCAATCTGATCTACTTTTTCTCCCCGTGGTCGCCTTTCTGGTTTTGTTCTTGATCCATTGCACCTAGAATCCACTTTTTGGGTTCGGTCGGTCGGCGATAGGGCCGGTTGCCAATAAAGAACTTTCGGTTACTGTTGATTGCCATCATCTGCAAGCCTCCAATCTTCTCATTTCAACTCAATAGTCGGTCTCTTGACTGCATTGGAACTGATCAATTGGGAG